CTACGGTACAGTGCAGCTAAGTAAGGAATAAATACCAGGAGCAAGCAAGTAGGTCAGCTAAAGCTCGGGGCAAGCCACAGATCTGGGTGCCGAGTGGACTGTGATGCCGCGGTTGGGACTGTGAATTTCCCGACCCGAACCTAGCTGAGGAGGGGGTCGATTTTGGCGCGCGCCCGCGCCAAATCGCGTCACGACGCGATTTCCGCTGGCGAAATTCACAGTCCATAGCCTTGGCATTTACAGTCCCTCGGGTAGATATCTGGTTACCTCACCCGCGCGTTTGTAGGGTTCCCGAGCGCCTGATGTGCTTCTTTGACCCTCAAATATTACTAACAATAGCATAGATTATATTTGCAAGTATATACAATATTTGAAGCACGGGAGGCGTGTATCTGGCCCTCCAGCAGGCCGGGATGGACGGGGAATGGAGAGGCCGGGGTCCCAAATGGCGTGGGAACTGGGACTGTAATGGACTGTGGCTCCCCCGCCACAGGACCGTAGATCTCACGGAAGAAGTCCGACGATCGTGAGCAATAAACAGGAGCGTTTTCTGTCCCCCGCGACCGTATCTCCGGGTCTCGTCCGTGGCCTCTATAGGTGGAGGAGGCACCTGCCAACTGGTAGAAGTCGAAGTCCACTACAGTGCCTTGCATAAGAAACTGAACATCGCATTTCCGCGCGCGTTGTTTGTTCGCGCCAAATATACCCTTTTCGGGTATCGGCAAATGTGCGGCAAAGACCCATCGAGAGGGAGGGTTAGCTGGGCATACAGCTAGGGCAAGACTATAATGATTTACAGCCCTTAGTGTAGTTGTAGAATATACATTTCTAGCATTCTCTGAAGCCTTTCGAGCCCTCTCGGGGCATCTGCGAGTCCCTGCCCAGCAAACGGTCTCGCGAGAGGCCTTTCGGACCTACCCGAAAAGGGTATATTTGGCGCGAACAAACAACGCGCGCGGAAATGCGATGTTCAGTTTCTTATGCAAGGCACTGTATGCAAGGCACTGTAATTGTGGCTATTACTGCGAATGACGCTTCCACTACCCGATGTGGCAACTGTGGCAACAGCTTCCACTGGGTACATCACCCATATTGAGCATGCACAAAACTTTGAAAATAATCAGTCAAAGGTCAAACTTCTTTCATGATTGTCCATTGCACAGTCAGTGAAATGAATTAGAATAATACTACTTTTGAGTGTGCAAAAATTTGATTGTGACACAGGATATGATCTTTATTCAGCACTGTTCATTGAACTTTCATTTGTTTTGCAAGGCAACACTATGAACAAAATTTGACCTTTGTCCGGTTCCTTTCACACTTTCTCGGTGGCTCAATATGGGTATTGTACCCAGTGTTCGGCCATCTACGGGCCATCCCACTTCGTGTCGTTCCAGGTGCCCACACGATGTCCGATATGAAACAACATATAAGCAGTGTATTGGTATCGATGCCTGTAGCCAAGTACAGCGCTAGCACTATTACCCACTGTAGCCAGACATGGGCATCTTTCACATCGGTAAGATTGTATTATAATTTTTCTGGTCCTGCGACGCCCATGCAATTTCCTTGACTTACCGTCATATGCCAAGTCCTCGTTAAGTTCGTTCCCGATGTTACAGAGGAGAAGATAAAGAGATGGAAGCAACTTGCATTAGGGTTACCGAGCAAAATCCCGGAAATAAAGGGGATCGAAATAGGGAAGAAGATTCCACACCAATTCGACGGTGGTTGGGATGACGGTAAGGAACGCTCATTTTCATGAGGCTGCTGACTGGGGGAATAATGGGACTTCAGGCGTGATTTTCCACTTCGATAATGAGGAAGATCTCAAGACTTATCTCCCGCACCCTGAGCATCTCGCGTACATGAAAGCATGCAGTGAGACGATTCAAGGCAAGTCCCAGAACCGAATCTTGTCTAAGAGTCAGCACTGACCTACCGACTTATTGCAAAGACCGTCTGTGTTTCGACTTAGCTGTATAAATGGATACTGTATTGCCTGTATAAATAGAGTTGAAAGCATGGAACGAGATACCCCGCTTATTGAGTGCGTGAATTGATCAGGTAGTACAGGTTGTTTGATACAAAAGTCCGACGAAGGATGCGCGGTCAAGAAACGAGAGTGATACTGTGTCCAATGATGATTATGAGGTTTGCAGTATGGGTATCCTAGTCATAGATAGGCATTGGTAACAACCTGGTTGGGTCGGTTAGCAGCATTCGAAGGAACAAGCCGAACACATCACCTATCGGCATTAAACAAGAAATTGTTGGCGATATCTTCCCCTTCTAAGAAACGAGTGGGATAGATCACTGTTACCAGATATGAGCAACCATGCATCCAGGGCACATGAATGTCCCACATACCTAGGTGTCCGTTCAATTCACCAAGTAGCTTCTCCATTTCCTCCCGCTCCCACTTCTCGAATGGCTCATCTCCCCGAGCCGGCTTCCGTGATCTGGTATCCTTGTCGGTCTGATGCGGTAGATCCTTTGTCGGGGTAGTAGCCGATGCTTGGTTCTCTGACCCGTCTCCAACGCGGGTGGCACTCCCTTCCGAGACATTGTCGGCGGGATCGTTCGTGGTTTCGGTGGGAGGACCGCCTTGGTCGCCAGGCAAAGCATCTGCATCTCCTGATTCAGAAGGCATGCGCCCGACCGGCTGGGGATTTTCCGCCTCCTTAGCCTGCTAGCGTTCTAAGTGCACGAATTCCGCAGTTACGGAAAGCCACCCTACGTACCGGCTTGTTCAAACGTTCATGATGAGCAACGAACTCCTTGTACTGTTTCCACGTTGTTACTAAATCGTCGGGTATAGCGTGAAAAACTTTGCGATAGATTTCCGTCTGTATGATGTCAACAGTCAGAGCAGTCTGCACGAGTAGACGGAGTGACTCATACATTGTGAACAGCGGACGCAACCCAGACATTCTTCCAAAATTCGTCGCAAATAGGATCCTCGAATCCATCGGGATCGACCACTGGTCGGGGCGTAGGCAGGACCCACTTGCTGTTAAGCTGTGCGGTGAGATGTTGGCGAAGAATCGAACGAGCACCAGGAGCTGCTTGCTCTTCTTCGTCAGCATCCTTCTTAATCGCATTAGGCTCAGGAGGCGCATCATCCTGTTTCGCACCGTCGTGCGCTTCTGCGGGAGCACCGTATAGTTCTCCCTTATCCACCCTTGCTTCAGGCGGACGGCCATTGCTTTCAGATTTGTCTCCTTTGCCTTCGGAATTGAGCACTTCTTTGAGTGGCTTGCCGTTTGCCTGATTCTCTGGGGGACGGCCTTCCATGATGATCTGCTCTTCCAGAGTAGGTATAATAGCGCTGGCAAAGCCAGCCTCCTGTTGACCATCGCGGGTGTACGTTGTTCGCTCGGCTTGCAGTTGTTCTTCCCCAGCTGTAGCATCGAGTTGGTCAGTCTTCAGTCCTACTTTGCGCAGGAGTCGGGCAGCATCTTTAGAGTAAGCCTCCTCAGTCCCGTGTATGGCTAGAGCATTTGTTAGGGCAGGCATCGTACGAAGGAACTTGGAATCTTACCTTGCTCCACTTCGTCGATCGTATCGTGGATGACACTACCGTGTACCGGCTTCTTCAGATGCGTGAAAGTTTTCTCCGCGCCGTGCTCTTGCTCGGACTCCGGATCCCAGGCGTCTTGCTCGTGTTCCTGTTTCACAGGTTCCGAGGCCATGAGGTCATCTTCCTCCATTGCGTCGACATCCACACCGAGGTGCTCTCGCATGAGCCGCACCCGTAGTGTGTGGGCGAATCGGCCGACTTTGAACGGTCTTCCAGCCATCGTACTACTTGGCGCCTCAAAATCAGTCTAGCTATGCTTGGAATTTCACGCACCCGTCAATGAAGTCTGTATCTCGGATGACTGCAGCTATTTCAGAGTCCCGATCCCCACGTTGCGACCGTTCATTGATGTTCGCGCTTCCAATGATGGCGAGCCGGTCATCCACAATGCAGACTTTCCCATGGATATATACCTGTATAGTGTCATGAGACTGCTTGCAACAGGATGATCCAGTTATACGTTACCAGCTCGGTTGTCAGTACGTCGCCGCGTAATTTGGCCCAGTTGCGCAGAGAGAAGTAGCTAATGTAGTCGTCGGGCTGCATCTAGTCAGTACGAGAGAGTACTGCATAGATAGAGCACGTACATTGATCCCTTCTTTCCTCAGGCGGGAAAAGATAGAGTCTGGTCCACGACACATCGTGCGGTTTTGACATTCGAGGATGATGCGAACCTGGTCGCCATTAGCGTTATCGTCCTTTGCAACAGCTTACACCTACTCACCGCACTCGCCTCACTATGGTCCACCGGGAAAGCGAATCCTGGCAACAAAGGCACCATGATACAGCATTTCCATGGAGTGCCTTCGCGATGTGCTCGAATGATCCGATGTACGAGCGCATCACCAATCTTATTCTCCACTTTGACGCCATTCACGTTGGTCCTGCAATCTACTCAGTAGTATAACTCTCGTATATCGTGGCCAACGTACGAGGTGATGAAGAACTGGTTCTCGATGTAAACAAAATGCTCGGATAGCTGAATAGCTAAAAGTACCGATCAGCCTTTGTTTTGCGAAACATCGAGGATATTGGAGGACCTTTCAAGTATGCATTCTGTATAGAGCGCTCTATGCGGGACGGGGTCCCAAGGGACCACGGGCCAGCTGATCTGCATATTTGCATCTCAAGTGTACCAGTCAAACCCATTTGAGTTAGCTCTCCGGGCTTGAACTCTGGAGGAGGCATTAGGAATGGCATAGGCCGAGAATGATTCTATGATACTCGTGAGCCGAATGCGCTCCCAAGATGTGGCGTGTTTACCTTGATCCGTAATAACCAATTCCACCTAAAGAGCTATAAATCAGACGGACCCGGATACACATTTCAAACCGATCGCACCTCTGCACGAAGTGCCGCGCAAGGTCTCGGGCCGGCTGTCCCACAACCTGCATGCCTACGTCGTGCCTGCAGATACTCGTCAAGAAAAGTAAGAGATACAGCATTAAAGCGAATTACCAAGGCATACGAGGAACCTTTGCCCGATCATACATATCCTCATCAGGTTTGTCCAAGGTATGGAAATCGAGTATGCGAGCATTGCTGTAGTCCTTGCCTAGAAAGTACGAGTGAGAGGAGTGCATCCTGATCTAGCGCAACGGACTCACCGGGCCATACTTCGATGCCATCTTGGGATTCCGGGTCGTCGACCAGCACATGCTGAGGAGTATCCCATCTAAGTGGATTGATACTTATTGATATCTCCTGCCTCTGTTGATTTCCCGAACTTACCGCCCAAAGCATAGGTCAACCCCACCCATGAAAGCAATGGCTTGGTCAATGACACATAGTTTCTCATGCTTAAGAAATCATGTTATCACTGCCTTTCTGTAGCCCGATTTATCAGAAACGTACATGAGCCCAATAAAACGTGCCGGTCTGGAAATGTGACGGTGAACGCTGGACCATAATGTTCGGGTGCAGCGACGTGAGCCTTTGCTTCGCATAGCTGGTGGACCATAATTATCATTATTCTTCGGAAAGAGCAGGACAGCCACTCACTTGCTGTCCGTAGGCGTGGTTCGACTTGACACTTCCTGGCTAACTCCTCTTCAGATACCGCGCAAAAACGACGTACAAGGGGACTCACTAAAGGATGACATAGATCTTAACGCCCTCTTTCGCCTTGCGTTCTAAGAGCCTATCTAAGCGGTACTTGTCCATCTTTGGCCGTCTCATCTGCAATTCTAGGAGTTCGACGGAATTAGCATGCTCGTAGGTTTCCTATCATGATACTCTTACCTGGGGAGAGCCACCAATCGTGTATGTAAATGCACTCCTTCGCAAGGAGCAGGGCGCGGGATAGATTCCACATGTAATCTCGCTGGGACAAAGCTCAGTGACGTGGTTTTCTGCAAGAGACGACGCACCCACGCCATCCACCAGCCATTGCGCCGCAACGTTCAGGCGTATAGGAGCAAAGCTATCGAACCTATTGCTCCCAGTATAGTGGCAGCTAGCTGCGGCTTTCTCCAACCCCGTAATCCATTGCAACATTTGTCTCTGGCGGCAGAATCAGCGATCCGTTGTCGACTGTCCACCGGGCAGTGAATGACCAACCTCATTCCTTGCATACAACTTCAGCTTCATCTGCGAATTCTCGATGTAGAATGTATGCTTCGACACCTCGTTATTCTTCCTCCTCTTCCGTCTCTCCGCCTCCTTGCCATCAGCCGGAGGCTGCAAGTCATTCATATTCCGGTCATGCGAATCCGCTTCGATCAGCGGGTCGGTATTCGTTGACGGGTCAAGGACGGGCGTTCGCCTTCCAGATGGCATGTCGGACGACGAAGAGCCCGAGGAGGACGCTGAGCTTGAGCGGGGCCTGCCATTGGACATCGAGGCGCTCCGCCTTTCCCCGCCATCCTTCTCGTTCAACTCGGAATGCCGGTGGTGGCGGTGATGATGTCCAAGGTGCAAGACCTTCGACATCGTGCTCTTGATAGTACCTATCAGGGATACGTTATCCCCGTGTTCATCCTGCTCACGTTGCACCTTCTCTCTGATTCCCCCAAACGAGATAGAGTCATCAATTTCGACGCCACCGTGGAGGAGATTGAGCCCCGCGCGGTAGTATCGCTTCGGCCGCTCGATCTTGAAGTCCGGATCGAACAAGAACACATCCCAGACATCAAGCTGCAAAGCAAGAGAGTATATTCCATTATCTGAGTACCGGGCACTTTGAAGGGGATACACTACAATGCTCACCTCCCCGGGTTCCTTCATGACAACCAGATAGCTCTCGCGAACGGCACACCATTTGTGCTCCCTCCTCTCTTTCCGGCTAGCTGCCTTCCTACCAAAGCTACCGCCTCGGCCTCCGGAAGCGTCGATGCGTAAATAACCTGCTTTGTACTGGGCACCCCCTGACTGGGCCAGAGCAATACTCAAAGCGCTGATCTCGAGGAAACCAGACAAGCGATTAGAGGCAGGATGGAACATCTGTAAAGGTGTGAATATCCGTGCATGCATCAGGACAGAGGCAACATACGACCGCGCGGATTAAGCCTATTAGGTAGTTCTCCAGAGACTGCCGCTGCATGCGAGCAAATTCAGCCCGTCCGACCTCATGTCCCTGAGTCCTGAGAAACTTGAAATACGGTAAACCTGCAGCGACAATATGAAACGTGCAACACCATTGGGACACTTCCATACGTACTTGTCTTAGGGAAATCTGGCAAAGTCTCGACTTTGCGGTTATACACGTTCGATAGCGTGTAATGCGTATGCAGCGACAAGAAATCCCTCAGCTGGCGGTAGACCACCCACCTTGCAGCTCCATTTGCATACTCACACTCAATCCGAAAGACGGCCTTATGACCATGCAGCGGATGCAAGCTGTCCGTAATGCGTATCCTGAGACGATGTAACAGGACGGGAACGCGCCGCTGGTCACTCTCATCGCGCTCGAACCAGAGGCGCAGCATGAGCGTGGCAAGGCCGCCTACCATCAACTCGTCTGTGATGTTCACGGTGGCAGGAGCGACGACCGAGGCTTCCGGGATAGCATGGCCGTGCTGCTGGTTGGCGATACTGGGGAGTAGAGAACGGAGCCTGCGCCAAGTGGGCGCTGAGGACCGTCGGTTGCCAGCATTCGCGTCGCCCCTGATGTGCGGCAACGATTGTGACCGAGGAACGCCTTCTCGACGTGGCTGGCTGGCTCCCGGCTGCGACTTTGATTTTTCATCCATGTCGGTTGTATGGTTGTTATCCTCGGTCTCGGCCCGCTCTCCGTCCTCTTGCTTCCGCTTACCGAAGTCAAAGGCCGACCGTTCCTCCCTTGGGGACTCTTGGAACCAGTTCTTGATGTTGCTCCATCCCTCGTCGAAGACGCTGCTGTCCTTTCTCTTGTCCCTCGCGCGCTTCATGATAAGCTCCCTCTCTTTCTCCCTCTGCTCTGGATCGTTGAATTCCAGAGCACCTCTGAACGGAGATTCCGGCCTCTCGGGTCTGGGAGAGAAGTAAGATTCTTCAGGTATGCCACTCTGCATCGTGCCAAGCAACGAAGCATCCGAATCCTCTTGCCTCGAATTAGTCCTGGAGGGATGCCGAGAGCTGAGCGAATAGTTGTACGAGAAAGAGCCTGGAGGACCCGTCCTGCCAGAGGGCGTATCAGGGACCGGGCTCCTGTACCCAGACTGGGGGGCCCGGCGAGCGCCTGAACTGGAGCTAACAGAATCCTTCTGGAAGTGACTTGACCGGGATGTGATGGGCGAGCCGGGGTGGCTGATTTCGTCACCGTCCTGTGAGCTGCTGCGAGCGTGTGGTACGGTGTTAGAGCGCCTCCTCGGGCTGATAGACCTAGAGCCTATTGAGTCTTTCTTGGTGTGACTGGACATTACCGGGGACCCAGGATAGCTGCCGTCTTCGAACCGCGTTGAGCCGTTCGCGGCATGTTTGCGGGCACTAATCGCAATGGATGCGATAGATTGTTTGGCCTGGTGCTGCGAACTCGAAGACTCCGGTTCACACTGCATGTTACTCGATGCTAATCCAGCAGACTCTTGGTCTGCACTGGCTGATGCAGAGTTCCCGCTCGGTTTATTCTCCTCGTGCACGTTGCTCGTACCGCCATCTTTATGTTGCGCCTGCGCATGAGTATTTGGAACTTTACTAAGTGCTTTCCGGTCGTGCTCTGAATCCAGAGCGTTGTGTACGATGTCGGCCAGGTTTGCCATCCTGGCCACGACAAGACCACTAAACCTGTCACTAACGCGATGTCGACAGAGGGTACAGAAAGCGAATCAGGTCGTCGGCATCAAGTCTTGTGCTTGATATCTGCCGCAGCGTGCCAAGTTGACTTGAACGCCAATGACGTTGCGCGTGAGACACGTTGAGAACGCTGGGCGGTTCCTGGGCGCTTATTATGCCTCGGGATGTATTCGGCGGCTGTGCTGGGCGCTTCTTCGAGTGCGACGCCACCAGCATCACAGGGCCAGGCGGGTACTTACTTGAGTAGATCATGCTACAAACAACACATTTAAAGCTACAACGGCTTACTAAAAGTGACAGTTAAGGAGATAGATGACCACCTAGGCAGCTTTGGTGGACGTAGCCTTCTTGCAGAAGATCTTATGGTTCACCCACGCCGCCTTCTGACATTCAGGGCTGCAATATCTCACTAACTTGCAACGCCCACACATAGGCATGTCATGCTTTCCGACTTTCTCGCAATATGCACACTGTCTCTTATTCTTCTCGTTCCCTGCGAGGTACGTCTTCATCTCTGGCCGGCCCTCCTTCTTGCCTAGCACCTCGTTTTTGACGCTGGACGGTGGCAGCTTTCTGCGAGAGCTAGTCAGCAGATTGTCGATCTTCTCAATGTCCGAGGCCAACAGCGATGGCGTGAAATTGTCGGGCGTAACATGGAAGATTGGTGGGGTGGTCGACGTGCCCGCCTTCGGTCCTTCGAGGGAGTTCAGGAAGTCCGGATCCAGGGAACGATTCTTGGACGTGGTATACGTGGCTCGCACCCTATTCGCCGCAATCAGGATTGGTCTCTTCGGTGCCAGAGAACAGGACCATACCAATTTGGCCTCGCGTCATCGTGATGGAGGTACTTCAGCAGCGACATGAACCTATCGGTGTTGTACTTCACAATCGCGTCGTAGTCGTGGTGGAAAGGACTGCCGCAATCTGTAGGTTTGTAAATATCTGCGCGGTCGAAGATTCAAGTACAGCGAGCTCACTGCATTTCGGATCCCCGAAGCACATAACCAGAAGGTATCTGGTTAGGGTCAGGTCCGTGAAGATGAGATGGCCCCAATCGCGCTGGTAACTCATCGGCATCTAGCACAATAATTGTTGAGAATTCAACAATCTCTTACATTTCTCTTAGCCGACCCTTTCACAATCTGTTCGCGTATACATAAATATCCCGGACTGCAAAGGAACCATGTCATACCTCGTACCCGTACAAAATAGGCACCCATTCATTCTTATAAATAATCTGAGGTGTCTTATCCTGATGCTCATCGACCCAGGCAGCAACCTGGTCAATGATCTTCTTCCTAGCTAGGAAGTCTTCCTTTGCGAGGTCGGGCACCTCATCGGGACTCTTGTCAAACTTGGCGGATATGTCGTTTTGGTACACTCCAAAGCCTCTGCACTGGATAAGTCTTGTCGTCGCGCAGGTACATGAGCGATTGATCATCATCATCGGGCTGAAGCTACCGAACAGAAAATCAGCTTTATTAGCTCATATGGAGCACGAAGAGCGTACCCAGAGAGACCGGCGAACGCTGAAGCGAGATCTTCCATCATGACTGAGTTGCACGAGAATGAGAGTGTAGAGGGATGTAGCAGTCCGCACTTATCTCTGGAGGCCGCGAACGACGCTGGTTCGCCGTCCTCATATTGGGTTGTGGCAACTGCTGGAGAAGCTCCCTGAAAAGCCATAAAAGGCAATTGTGGCCCTGAACGTCGTGTCCTGCTTGCTTTCAAGTCGCGCTGCTTTCACCAAGGTCTTCTAGCATGGCTGCTGCATCGACGACCAACGAACTATCGAAACTTACGGTTGCTCAGCTGAAAGCCTTATGCAAAGAAAAACATATCAGCGGATATTCCAAACTCACCAAGCCCGCCCTGATCCAGAAGATCCTCGCTGCCTCTGATGCCTCTGATAACTCTGTCGCTGCTGTATTCAGCTCTGTGTCGCTGTCCACTGTTGAATCTAGCGTCTCTGAAGCCAGCCATGGACCAGCTGCTCGCCGAACGACAAAGGAGGGTCTCGATGCACCTGCGAGACGGACAGAGACTCCTAAAGATTTTACTCAGGACTCTACTCCAAACGCTTCGGGTCCTGGCCATCTAGGTCTACCAAACGTTACGACTGGGAGGGTTGGCTCTGACGCTATGGCAAGCGTTCGTAATCTGGCTGTCGCGGCTAATGAACTGGCTGAAGCGCCTGCCATCGGGGAGACTGACGGCTCACCGCCGAGCGCGAGAGTAGCACCCACACCAGACGTATCCACCTCTCTTTCGAAAGATCTTGTAGATGCGTCCTCTGGTAGACTGCGGAATTCTCCGACCCGGTGGCCCAGTCACGTCCTCCACTCTGAGAAGGTGGAGTATATGCGCGTACCTACAACATCGTCAAGACAGTTGGACGTCAGCACACCAGGCTCTGGACCTACGAGACCTAGTAACAAAACAACTGACGGATATGCGTTGAATCTACTGGCGAAACGACCGGGAAGCACTTTGGTCCCTTCTCATCAAGGCAAAAAGGCTAAGATAGCTGTAGACTTTGGAAGCTCGCACGCTAGGGCCGGAACAACATCGGCTTCTCGTACACATAGGGCGTCTTGTGTCACTGCGTCAGATCTACCTCCATGTCCCGTGTCTGTTGCTCCATCGAAGACATCCGCATTCGTCATGGGCCCTCCACATCAAGACGACCGGTCACCAGAGGTATCAGGGCCTGCCGATCGGACCGTTGCTAAGCAAGCTAAAAGATTCAAGCCGCTAGCGATCTGTAAACCCGTCAAACCCCACATATCTGCACCTTCTCGCAAAGTCAACGGCCCCTCGAGTGCTTGCGACGAATCTCTTGCGCTGACTTCCCTTAGACCCAGCCACCTTGATTCTGCGGAGTTCTTCGTCTTCCCATATAAGTCTTTTGCGGTTCCCGAGTGTACTCGTATTTCTCTGCCGCCCTCTCTTTCTCAGCGCAAGCGGGTGCAGCGGTGGGCTGTCATACTCAGTGGTCTATCCGATGCAGAGCGCCGGCAATGTGCCCAAGTATCGCGGATGTTCCGCTATGCGGGTGCGTCATTTCGGCCATGCCTTGCTGATAACTGAGGTCAGGGGACTGTTCGTGGTTCGAATAGTATACCTCTCCGCGGATGTCATTCTTCGGCAGGACTTCCCTGGTAAGCGGACAGATGAGGTTCTGCAAAAGTATCCCAACACAATGACGAACATGTGGCCTTACCTGAGGGCTCGGACTCGCGAACTGGAAGTATGGCGGATGGCGTACCGACGTTCTTTTTTGCCCGCCTGTCTCGAGCAATCACCATTATCTCCGCATATGTGGACTAGCCCAGACGACGAGAAACAAGTGGTCGTCGCACTCAGGTTAATATGCGAGCTCAGGCGTCACACTATCCCGTGTCTGCTCATGACACTTACGATGGCCTTTCAGATTTGTCATGACTAGGCTATGGTTTACAATCTCCCTCGGCGTGCACTATCCTCCCGGCATTGTCACTTCGGCTAAAGCGGTAGTCCACTCAATCTGGTCCATAACAATTAAGCATCGTTCGGAATGTGGGACTTCTGAAGAGCATTTCTACGTATTGGAGCCTACTTGCGAAGTCATCGGACGTCCATCAAAGTTCATAGTCTCCTCCTCTTCGTGCAGACTGGTCCCTCTACATAGAACAGCTGCAGGATGATGGTGGATCTCCGGCTCCGATTATGGACTGTTTGAAGTGGGCGAATTATGAGGAATATGATAGAGGGATCAGTAGGCTATGGCTTAGCCGAATACAAGGTGAAGGAGAGTCAGGCCAAGCGAAGATCGTGGCGGAGCGGTACGTTCTGGCGTGCCTAGTAGCCAACAGGTAGGAAATGGCCACCTTCACTGTACAGCCGAGTTGCCTATTTACCCTCTATGATCAGTGTGAGCGGTCAGTGGATGTCATGTACCCAGATGGCGCAGGAGTTTGCAGGCCTGGGGACACCAGTGGGCCCTCCTCCAAGGTCCGGGAAAGCACAAGTAAACCTGTTCCTCCCAGCGTACGTACTGTCTTTTCCCCGCATCTCATCAGTGTTCATGCTATTGTAGGCATCATCATGTGGAAAGTGTGCACTTTACGACTGCGCGTAGGCGGCCTTTACATATTGCTATCGCGGTGGTACAAACTCCCGCGAGGCCGTACTATGTTCTTCGAGAGAACGGAATGCAGATTGGCTGTGAAGAGGATGGTGTGAGTGCGATGTGGATGGATTTGTTGAGCTGCGACTCGTCTGGTACCCCGCTTGACTTACCTCCTAATCCATCCGGGGTATCTGTACAATTACCGTGGTGATGCTCCTGTAGATTGTCGGGAGGATTCACATGTATGTTATATGCCAGTACCGCAGATTTTCTCCTGTTAACCCTGCGATGGGGTGAGGGTGATGCCTAGTTCAGCAAAGAGAGCAAATGATGATTCAGCTATTGGAATACACATGAACTGTGTACGGTGGACACTGCTAGACCGATGACCGGAACAGACCCGCATCAATGGTAGCATATAGTTTGGGCCAGTAAAGGCCGCAAAGAAGGACGCTTCATATGCTCTATCATGCCCTTGTGCGTTTCTTGACTTATGATGCCTTTCATGAAACGGATGTCAACTACCCCGACGGCGTCTTTACAGCAATATTACATGTTCGGTACCTCGACTAGCCTACTGAGGTGCGTCGTAAGGAACTCGTCGCTCTATCCACACGCAGTGCAGCGAGCCCTGTTACCATCCATAAACTTGACCAATCCATCCCTTACATGTGCCCATTCTGGAACTCGATTCCTGTGATTGTTGTTGAGCTTATACCCCGCCTGCCATGTACCATCATCGGTGAGGGGTTTTGCCACTTTGACCATGGACAGACAGTTAAACGGATGTGGAATCATGAATGCCTACTCTTTTCTCCTTCTTGCCTTCATGGCATTGGCCTCCCGAGCAGGAGTCCAGGATGACTGCCATTGTCGTGATTGAGTGGCAGGCTAGAGCAAAATACGTCAGAGGAGCATACAAAGCATGAATGAGATCTGCTCACCATATCGATATCGACTAGGGCAACTTGAAATAGTCTCTCCTTGAGGAAACAATGGAATTTCTCATTGTCATAGAGCACTTCCTTCAAAGTCTCTGCCAGGAAGGCTATGTCTGACCTCAGGTAATACTGACCAGCATATAGCACTGAGGAAGGATGATTACGTGAATGCAGCAAAAGTACAAGCAATAACAATGCACACTTGGGGTTACCGCTAATTTCTGTACATGGTGCAATCCGAGTCCCATCAAGTTTCTCCTGAAAATCCCAGGGTAACATGTAATGAGCCTCAGAATTGATCAATAACGCTGAAAAACAAGGATCAGATACAACGAAAACGAAGATTCAAAAGTGTGTAGTATTTTTATACACGACCTACAAGACCTTATCCTCAGATCACATAGCGCGTGGTCCAGTGTGTGCTGGGTGTCACGTCAATTGGAGAAATATACATAACTATGTATTCGCTCACGGTTCAACAGTGTTCGAACATGAGTCGGACATATTGAGGCTCAATTAGGTCATCTGGGCATGACGGCAGTCCTTCCGAGGACGAAAGTTCAAGGAGCGTTGCCTTCCATGTGAAAGCGAAATGGCGGCGCATAAGTGTACTGTTGAGTCATTTGTTGGTCCGGGATAAGTCATACATCGAGAGGGTGCAGCAAGGAGAAGATCTGCAGTAACCCTGTTCAAGGTCTGCCAGACAACTGCATAGAGTTGAAGAACGTACCTCACCAAGGATGTCAAATGGCATGTCTGCAAGCTTAATAGAGAGTATTTGCAGGAGGCGAAGTGGACACTTTTTCCGCTTAGCAGACAGCCCACTTCGGATAATGCGAATGCACCACAAACACCAAAAATATGATATTCTGCACCACCTACCCGTTAGCATTGGGTGTATACCTACGTATAGGGTAATATGCTGTGTCAGAGTTTCTAGCACTGGGTACATCACCCATATTGAGCATGCACAAAACTTTGAAAATAATCAGTCAAAGGTCAAACTTCTTTCATGATTGTCCATTGCACAGTCAGTGAAATGAATTAGAATAATACTACTTTTGAGTGCACAAAAATTTGATTGTGACACAGGATATGATCTTTATTCAGCACTGTTCATTGAACTTTCATTTGTTTTGCAAGGCAACACTATGAACAAAATTTGACCTTTGTCCGGTTCCTTTCACACTTTCTCGGTGGCTCAATATGGGTATTGTACCCAGTGTAGTGTATCCCCAGCTTTTTCCGCGAATGGCTCCGACGCGCACCACTGCTGTTTTCACTTCGCCGAAGATCTCGTGTCAGATCAGATAGCTAAAGTTGACTTCGCCTCCTGCAAATACTCTCTAATGATCAAACCTCCCAGTCTTCTTCGCGACGAGATCATCGGCTGATTTTTGCGCAGTCCTGGGCACGGTACTTCGTTTATTCATTTGCTTGCGCCGCTTAGGCGCAGGAACAAAATCATCACTGCATGAATCGTAGTGAGCTCCATCAGTGAATTCCGGTTCAGGCAAAGCAGTCTGAGCCCGCTTCCGTGTTGAGGAACGCTGTGCCATGCTGGTAGGTTGATGAAGTGTGGCTGCGAGCCACATCTCAGGGCCTTGTGTGGGTGCACGTGACGGAGATGGTTGAGTCCCCAAGCACTGCCGTGGGTAAATACATACCGAAGACCTATGGCACCTCGTCGGACTTCGCCGAAGGGTCAGACCTGTTGCGCGCATTTGGCAGTTTACTCAGCTCAACGCCTTCCGTCGTCGCCAACGTCGACGATGAATTTCCCTCCGCCGCCTCCAGGAATGCCGGCACCACCGCCTGGCATGCCCGTAGCACCGCCTGGCATGCCACCACCACCACCAGGAATGCCGCCCCCGCCTGCGGGCTTTGGCGACCCTTCGAGCTCACGAATGCCTCCCGAGATGCTCGCTCAGAAGTCGCAAAAATGGGTTCAAATGCAGAAAAAGCGTTATGGGGAGAAGCGGAAGGGAGGGTATGTTGATATGGGGAAGCAGGTGCGTTCCTGTTCATGTGGAAATTAGGCGCATGTATTGAGTTATCACATAGGACCTGCCGCCCGAGCACGTACGCAAAATCATCAAAGACCATGGTGACATGAGCAATAGGAAGTTCAGGAACGACAAGAGGGTTCACTTGGGAGCTCTCAAGTACGTTCCGCACGCCGTCATGAAGTTGCTGGAGAACATCCCGTACCCATGGGAGCAGGTTCGTGAAGTCCCCGTTCTCTATCATATTACGGGCGCCATTACGTTCGTCAATGAAATTCCTCGAGTAATCGAGCCTGTCTATCACGCTCAGTGGAGTACGATGTGGTTGGCCATGCGGAGAGAGAAGCGCGACCGTAGGCATTTCAAGCGAATGCGATTTCCTCCTTTCGATGACGAGGAGCCTCCTCTCGACTACGGCGACAACGTGCTCGACGTGGAGCCGTTAGAGGCGATCCAGCTTGAGCTGGACCCCGAGGAGGACGCGGCAATCATCGACTGGTTCTACGATCCTAAGCCTCTCATTGACACTCCTTCTGTCAACGGCTCCTCATACAAGTACTGGTCGCTGTCTCTCCCGGTCATGGCGAATCTGTACCGCCTAGGTCGCACACTTTTGTCTGACCACACGGACGATAACTACTTCTACTTGTTTGACAAGAAGTCGTTCTTTACGGCGAAGGCGTTGAACATGGCCATTCCAGGGGGTCCGAAGTTCGAGCCGCTCTATCGTGACATGGACACATTCGACGAGGACTGGAATGAATTCAACGACATCAACAAGGTTATCATCCGGCAGCAAATTCGCACAGAGTACAAGGTCGCCTTTCCACATCTTTACAACTCTTTGCCGCGCTCCGTCCACATTTCCCCCTACCATCAGCCGAAGAGCGTCTACATCAGGACCGACGACCCGGACCTACCCGCTTTCTATTACGATCCGCTGATCAATCCTATCTCGCTCCGGGGCTTTACGCCCAAGAATGCGCCCTTGTTGTCTTACGAGGACACCATTTTTGGGCCCAACGGGGCAGACGAAGATGACTTCGAGCTTTCGGAGGAAGTCGAGCCGTTCCTCGAGGACCGCCCGCTCGAGACTGACCTGACAGCAGATGGTATCGGCCTGTGGTGGGCCCCCGCACCCTACAATCGGCGGTCCGGTCGCATGCGTCGCGCTCAGGACGTGCCCCTCGTCAAGAACTGGTACTTGGAGCACTGTCCTCCGGGCCAACCTGTGAAAGTTCGAGTGTCCTATCAGAAGCTTCTGAAGTGTTATGTCCTGAACGAGCTCAAGACGCGACCTGAGAAGGCTATGACGAAGAAGAATCTGTTCAGGCAGCTGAAGGCCACCAAGTTCTTCCAGACGACGAAATTGGACTGGGTCGAAGCAGGTCTCCAGGTCTGCAGGCAGGGATATAACATGCTTAACCTCCTCATTCATCGTAAGGTACGTACGTGTCCTTACCCCCCCTAGATTCTTTATTCATTTAGTGCCGTAGAACTTGAACTACTTGCATCTTGACTACAACATGAATCTGAAGCCCGTGAAGACCTTGACGACGAAGGAGCGTAAGAAGTCTCGTTTCGGAAACGCGTTCCACCTTTGTCGTGAGATTCTCCGCTTGACGAAGTTAGTCGTCGACGCGCACGTTCAATATCGCCTGGGGAATGTCGACGCCTTCCAGCTTGCTGACGCTCTGCAATACATCTTTGCCCACATCGGTGCCTTGACTGGGATGTATCGGTACAAGTATAAGGTAAGCCCGCTTTTGTATGTTATTATATGGCGCATGTTCTGATTCGTATTTCCTCCAGCTGATGAGGCAAGTCCGCATGACGAAGGACCTGAAACACCTAATCTACTACCGCTTCAACACCGGACCAGTCGGTAAGGGTCCTGGTTGCGGTTTCTGGGCGCCGGGTTGGCGGGTATGGCTATTCTTTATGCGTGGGATTGTCCCTCTTCTCGAGCGATGGCTCGGGAATCTGCTCGCGCGTCAATTTGAGGGTCGCAACAGCAAAGGTATTGCGAAGACTGTGACAAAGCAACGGGTGGAGTCGCACTACGACCTGGAACTGCGTGCGGCTGTCATGCATGACATCCTCGACATGATGCCGGAGTCTATCAAGCAGAACAAGGCGAAGACGATCCTTCAGCACTTGTCGGAAGCCTGGAGATGCTGGAAGGCGAATATCCCCTGGAAGGTCCCGGGCATGCCCACCGCAATCGAGAATATTATTCTTCGATACATCAAGGCAAAGGCGGATTGGTGGACATCAGTTGCTCATTACAACCGCGAGCGTATCAGGAGGGGTGCAACGGTCGACAAGGCCGTGGTCAAGAAGAACCTCGGACGTCTCACGCGGCTCTACCTGAAGGCGGAACAGGAGCGTCAGCACGCGTACCTCAAGGACGGTCCGTACATCAGCGCCGAAGAGGCCGTAGCGATCTATACGGCAACTGTGCATTGGCTGGAGAGCCGCAAGTTCGCTCCTATTCCCTTCCCTCCGCTATCGTACAAGCACGACACCAAACTTCTCGTTCTCGCATTGGAGAAGCTGAAAGAGGCGTACTCGGTGAAGGGGCGCCTTAACCAGTCACAGCGTGAGGAGTTGGCGCTCATTGAACAAGCCTACGACAACCCTCACGAGTGCCTCTCTCGGATCAAGCGGCTTCTCCTTACGCAGCGGGCTTTCAAGGAGGCTGGAATTGAGTTTTTCGATACGTACGACAAACTCATCCCGTGCTACGATATCGAGCCTATCGAGAAGATCACCGACGCCTATCTGGATCAGTTCCTATTCTTCGAGGCGGACAAGCGCGGTCTGTTCCCAGCCTGGATTAAGCCTGCCGACACCGAACCGCCTCCGCTCCTTGTGTACAAATGGTGCCAGGGTATCAATAACCTGACCGACATCTGGGAAACGAGTGAGGGCGAGTGCGTGGTCATGATGGAGACCGTTCTTTCGAAAGTGTATGAGAAGATCGACTTAACGCTGCTCAACCGTCTCCTACGGCTGATTCTGGACCACAATCTGGCGGATTATATCACATCCAAGAACAATATAGGTACGTCTGTCTTCTTCTCGCGATAATGCGTCATAATCATACCATTGCTCCTCTTAGTCTTGACATACAAGGATATGGCCCATACGAATGCCTACGGCCTCATCCGCGGTCTGCAATTCTCTGCCTTTGTCTTCCAGTACTATGGTCTCGTGCTCGACATCCTTATTTTAGGTCTTCAGCGTGCCAGCGAGATGGCTGGACCTCCACAGATGCCCAACAACTTCTTGCAGTACCGTGATTCGGCCACAGAGACTCGCCACCCTATCCGGCTCTATTCGCGATACGTTGACCGACTGCATATCTTGTTCCGATTTACCGCGGACGAGGCTCGCGACCTCATCCAGCGGTATCTCAGCGCCAACCCCGACCCCACGAATAACAACGTTATCGGGTACAACAACAAGCGTTGCTGGCCGCGCGACTGCCGTATGAGGCTCATCAAGCACGACGTAAACTTAGGTCGCGCTGTGTTCTGGAACGTCAAGAACAGCTTGCCGCGGTCGCTCACGACTATCGAGTGGGAGGACACTTTCGTTAGTGTCTACTCCAGAGATAACCCTCAGCTCCTCTTCTCCATGTGCGGCTTCGAGGTACGGATCTTGCCCAAGATTAGGACGATGGGCGGAGAGCAGTTTTCGTTGAAGGATGCCGTTTGGAACTTAACCAATGAGCAGACGAAGGAGCGCACAGCCCAAGCCTTCCTGCGGGTATCCGACGATGGTGTCCAGCAGTTCAATAACCGGATACGGCAGGTCCTCATGAGCTCAGGTTCCACCACATTCTCCAAGATCGTCAACAAGTGGAACACCGCGTTGATCGGTCTGATGACCTACTATCGCGAGGCAGTCATCCATACAAACGAATTGCTCGACGCTCTTGTGAAGGCCGAAAACAAGATTCAGACTCGGGTCAAGATCGGTCTTAACAGTAAAATGCCTTCTCGTTTTCCCCCAGTTGTGTTCTACACACCCAAGGAATTGGGGGGTTTGGGCATGTTGTCCATGGGTCACGTTCTCATTCCTCAGAGCGATCTTCGGTGGTCGAAGCAGACGGACGTAGGCGTCACTCACTTCAGGGCGGGTATGTCGCATGAGGAGGACCAGCTTATCCCAAATCTGTACCGGTACTTGCAGCCGTGGGAGGCTGAGTTCATTGACTCCGCCCGTGTCTGGTCAGAGTACTCCATGAAGCGGAAGGAGGCGAACGCACAGAATCGACGTCTCACGTTGGAGGATCTTGAGGACAGTTGGGACCGTGGTATTCCGCGCATCAACACATTGTTCCAGAAGGATCGGCACACGCTAGCGTACGACCGGGGCTGGCGTGTCCGTACTGATTGGAAGCAATACCAGCTCCTCAAGCACAATCCGTTCTGGTGGACATCACAGCGTCATGACGGGAAACTCTGGCAGCTCAATAACTATCGGGTGGACGTTATTGCTGCACTGGGCGGTGTCGAAGGGATCCTAGAGCACACGCTCTTCAAAGGAACATACTTCCCGACATGGGAGGGTCTCTTCTGGGAGAAAGCATCCGGTTTCGAAGAGTCTATGAGGTACAAGAAGCTGACGAATGCCCAACGGTCCGGCCTGAATCAAATCCCTAACCGTCGGTTCACCCTGTGGTGGAGTCCTACCATCAATCGGGCAAACGTATACGTGGGATTCCAGGTGCAGCTCGATCTCACTGGCATCTTCATGCACGGCAAGATCCCAACCTTGAAGATCAGTTTGATCCAGATCTTCCGTGCTCACCTGTGGCAGAAGATCCATGAGAGTGTGGTCATGGATCTTTGTCAGGTCTTCGATCAGGAGCTTGAACCGCTGCAAATCGAAACTGTCCAGAAAGAGACCATTCATCCGCGGAAGAGTTACAAGATGAATTCTTCTTGCGCCGACATCCTCCTCTTTTCTGCCTACAAGTGGAACATAGCTCGCCCGTCGCTCGTCACTGACAGTAAGGATGTTCTCGACGGTACGACAAGCAACAAGTTCTGGATCGACGTCCAGCTTCGGTGGGGTGACTTCGACTCGCACGATATCGAACGCTATACGCGTGCTAAGTTCCTGGACTACGTCTCCGACTCCATGAGTATCTACCCGTCGCCCACTGGTGTCATGATCGGCATGGATCTGGCGTACAACTTATGGTCGGCTTACGGAAACTGGTTCCCGGGATTGAAGCCACTCATTCAACAAGCTATGGCTAAGATTATGAAGGCAAATCCTGCCTGCCACGTTCTCCGTGAACGTATCCGGAAAGGTCTCCAGCTTTACTCGTCAGAGCCAACGGAGCCCTACCTGAACAGCCAGAACTACTCCGAACTGTTCTCGAATCAAATCATCTGGTTTGTTGACGACACCAACGTCTACCGTGTTACAATACATAAGACGTTTGAGGGTAACTTGACCACAAAGCCTATCAACGGGGCCATCTTCATCTTCAATCCGCGATCCGGTCAGTTATTCTTGAAGATCATCCATACTAGTGTCTGGGCGGGGCAGAAGCGTCTAGGCCAATTGGCGAAGTGGAAGACTGCCGAAGAAGTTGCAGCGCTCGTACGTTCCTTGCCAGTAGAAGAACAGCCGAAACAGGTTATCGTCACCCGCAAGGGCATGTTGGGTACGTATCCAGTTCACACGTGTCAGTGACCAGTACTCACCACAGAGATCTCCCTAGACCCGTTGGAAGTCCACTTGCTTGACTTCCCTAACATTGTCATCAAGGGTAGCGAATTGCAGCTGCCATTCCAAGCATGCATGAAACTGGAGAAGTTCGGTGATCTCATTCTCGTGAGTGTCTTTCTTTATGCGACACTCACTATCTTACATATTATCTGCAGAGAGCGACGCAACCACAAATGGTTCTATTCAGTTTATACGGTGAGGATGACTTGTGTTCAGAATTACTAGGATGATGTCACTGATAGCTACCATTAGACGACTGGCTCAAGTCCATCTCGAGCTATACCGCTTTCTCACGGCTGATTCTCATTTTGCGCGGCCTACACGTAAATAATGAGAAGGCGAAGATTATCCTCCATCCCGACAAGAACACTATAACTGAACCACACTTCGTCTGGCCCTCTCTTTCGGACGAAGAATGGATCAAGGTCGAAGTGGCATTGAAGGACCTTATCTTGGCGGTAAGTTGCTTTAATAGAAGATATGAAAATGCATGTATTGACCGCATTGTAGGACTTTGGCAAGCGGAACAACGTGAATATCGCGTCATTGACGGCCAGTGAGATCCGAGACATCATCTTGGGTCAAGAGATTGCGGCGCCGTCCGTCCAACGCCAGCAAATGGCTGAGCTGGAGAAGAGCACGGAGGCTCAGGGCCAAGTGACGGCTGTTCAAACGTGAGTACTCTCACTGCCCCAGATCGACCGTCTAACGGTATGTCATAGCCAAACGACGAACATCCACGGAGACACCATTCAAACGGTCACGACCACCAACTATGAGCAACAGGTCTTCAGTAGCAAGTCGGACTGGCGTGTGCGTGCTATATCGGCGACTCACTTGCCGCTTCGTCTGCAACATATCTACGTGTCGAATGAGGATGTCAAGGACGATGCTAGCTCATACACATACGTGCTTCCAAAAAACATCTTGCGAGCCTTCATCACGGCGGCGGACTTGCGTACCCAGGTAGCAGCATATCTCTACGGTGTGTCTCCCCCAGACAACAAGCAGGTGAAGGAGATCAGGGTCAGTCCTTTCTCCGCGTTCCCTTTGTTCAGGCTAACAGCTCTGCCTCTAGGCTGTTGCATGGGTGCCGCAAAGGGGTAGCAACAACAGCGTCGAGCTCCCTGCCCAGTTACCGAAGGACGACTTCTTGCTCAAAGATCTTGAGCCTCTCGGCTGGATCAAGACTCAGGCATTGGAGCTGCCGCACCTATCTCCCACCGACGTGACCACTCAGGCCAAGTTAATGGCCGACCACTCCGAATTGGGTCCAAACACGATATGTCTTGTTGCCTCCTTTACACCGGGCTCGGTCTCGCTTTCCGCGCATACGTTGACCGTTCCTGGGTTCGAGTGGGGTCGTAAGAATATGGATAATTCGCCTAATCCACCGGTACGTTCAACAGTGTGCTTTACGCATTCACATTATCTCACTGTATCACGAACTAGGGCTTCAACCCCAACATGTCGGAGCGTGTCCAGCTTCTCCTGTCGGACCGTATCCTAGGTATGACCCTGGTGCCCGAAGGTCGGGTGTGGAACTACGGCGTAGGGTTAACCCAGCTGTGGTCGCCCAACTTATCGTACTCGATGACCCTGGACACGCCCTTGCCATTCTGGGCCGAGGAGCATCGTCCGGCTGCATTCCTTACTGTAAGCTCAATCATACAATCATACTTGTCAACGGCTAATCTGAGCTTCTTATAGTTCGCAAACTTGGAGACTGGTGATGATAGTGCCGATGTAGAGAACAGCCTTGCTTAATGTCGTATATTGTGTTATTTGCATTCCAGTGTATTTCTAGATCCAATATGTAATTCATGCTACAAGTGTCATACCTCTCGCCATTAAACCTCCGGAAGCAATGACGGGCTGAGATAGGAATGCTACAAGTACAACAATATGCACAAAGACATCAAAATTTACATGAACACAGAGATTAAGACCGATATGATCCGAGATACCGTTATATGCTCACTATACCAAGAGAAACAGTGGACCCATGTTGCTCCAGCAACGTCAAGGGCGACTCTACGGGTGCAGCATTTTGCTTGTCATCGCCTTCAGTGGCAATTGCAGAGAGGCGGTGCGGTGGCGGAGAGAGTGATTCGTTGAAGGAACCAGATACCGTTTCCCCCGAGGAGACGAGAGCCTCTTCGGGTAGAATCTGCGTGCTCGTGTACTTGTCGTTCTCCCTGTCTGGCACGGCAACTGGTCTGGACGCACGTCTCGGGGGAGGCGACAAGGATGTCAATTCTGTGAAGTCTGGTGATGACTCGGGCACGGGCACTTCATCTGCCATCGAAGGTAACCCAGATGTTTTGGGTCCATTCTCGGAGATGTTGTCGTCTCCAGCCGACAGAAGGAAATCGGGATCGTTCTGGTGCGTAGTGATCGGTTCACCAATGGGCGTGGAAGGGGTAGGAGGTCGATGGATTGGGGCAATGGGTGTAGAAGGCGGGCTAGACAGAGGACTGGGCGAAGCCGGAGCACTAAGCAATCGCAAGCGTTGCTTAATTGAAGGAAGACGAGAGAGAGGAGAAGATGACGCAGGAGGTGGCGGAAGGGGGCCCGTAGGAGGAGGATGGGGAGGACCAGGGGGTATTGGGGATCCGGGTATCGGGGACAATGTGCGCGAAAGACCGCTGTTACTTCCGTTGCTAGAGCTCCTACGGTGAGACCGATAAGAAGGCTCATCGGGCCGCGGGGGCAATCCAGAAGACGGAGGGTCTCTCGGAGGAACTAGAGACAGCCTGAGGGCTCGCTGAGTAAAGGACTCGCGGATTGAGCTTTTGTTCACCGGCGCTGACCCCGGTTGCCCTTGTGGCTCTTCAGATGGAGTAGGTGGGAGAGCCATATTCGGGGCTGGACGGGGTGGTGGTGGGAGGGACATCCTGCCGGCAGACATTGGTCGGTTTGGAATGTTGACAGGGTTGGTACTCGCCGTGCTATTACTATGGGCGGAGACACTATACCCCGAGGAGCTGGATGCACGCTTCGAAAAGGTCGGCATAGCTGAGACGAAGCTCTGCGGACTGGAGGGCGAATGAAGAGACGAAGAACGACTCGGCGGTCGCTCCGCCGCGTAAGGGTGCAAGGTCTGCGACTTGGACGGCGGCGATTTGCCAGCCTGGGTGTCTGATCCGACCGGCGGTGCTGGAGGAGGACCGGCAGGCGGTGTGAGACGCTTAGGTAGAACACCTTGCCTGGACCACCGTTTGACATTGGAATTCGACCTGTCCAGGCCGCTCTGCTCGCCCGATGCGAACGTTGAAACGGAACATAATGAAGGCGCCCTCGGCTTCTGTTCCGGCGTCGCACTCCCTCCAGAGAAAACGGACAAGGAAGGGCTCCCTGGCGTACGATTCGACGGCTCGCTCGGCTGGCCGACTCCAAAGCTCATACTGGCGTTACCGTTATTATATAATGATGCAGCCTCTTCATGGCTTGCACCTGGGCCAGCAGCTAAGGTCCATGGCCGTTTCCGTGGAGGTGGTTGCAAGGGAGGAGAGCCAGCGGACATCCGCTTGATCTGGTTCTCTTTCCCAACATCAGAGAAGGACCATTCAAGAGGTTCCCGCTCTCGATCCGGCACGATCTTCCTCTGCAAGTTGCGCTCGAGGGGGGTCAAGATGGGTCCGGGTGGCACACGCGGTGGCGAGGCGGACGAGATAGGAAGGAGCTTGGGAGACGTCACGGGCGACTTTGCGCTCTCAGCCGCTCCATTAGATCGGAGGATGCTCATGAGATTATTTCCCAGTGAGCTGAACGAGTCTTCCGTGGTATCTCTTTCGGAATCAATGCTGGTCGCTCGGGACGGCGATCTTGGTCGAGTTGCGAAGAGACCTTTAAGAGCCGAAACTGCATTGGTCTGCGGAGTCTTCGGTGTGGGATGGCCGCGGAGCGAGCCGTGCGGCGATGTTGCGATGCTACCATTGGGATCGCTAGCGTTTAGTAATGCGGCGGCAGCAGCGGCAGGGGCAGAGCGAGGGGGACTAATGGGAAATTCAGAATGTACCGGTGAGGGTAGCAGCCCTTGTGCTCTCATTGAGAGCATGACATCCATATCTCCGCGAGGCTCGGAACCAGATAGCGAGTGAGAGGGGATGCCTAACCCTGACCGAAGAGATCTGAACTGAGTCAGTGCGGTGTTCTACCATAAAAGATACATGGAAACGCAAATACCTCTGAGCGAGGATAGCGGCCTTGATAGCGGCTATCCACTTCTGAGATTCTGCTGAGTCGATAATTTGGAGCAGCATCATGGTCTGGCCGTTCTCCTCGGAATTCAATTCTCTGCGCATAACCCCGACGTCCACACCGCCGACTTTGATGACGGACCCGCGACCTCCCACTTCTTCGTCGGCAATGAAGACAACGCTCTCTTCGTTAATTTCAAGTCTCTCTACCTCCCTCTCCTCCGAGCTGGGCGACTTGAAGAGGTGTAGATAGGAAACGGCAGGGGTGTTGCTGGCACGCGGGAGCCGAGATGCAGGGGACGTCAAGACGACGTAACGGTTTCGCCACTGTTTAGACAGGGCTAACATAAGAAGTGAGGGCGGAGGGTAGTGTTTTGGAAATGTAGAAGACATGTACACAAATGGTTGCAAAGATGAAAGAGTACTGGGGAAAGGAGGGACCGACGGACCCGGGGTCGAAGTCGAATGTATCCGTGACTGTGTAGAAAGCGCAAGAGATCCCGCTCGGCGGCGATTTGGAAGGGGGGGCTGTGATGGCCCCGAAGACATAGACATTGAAACAGATATAGTGGACCCGTGAGTAGAGCGACCCCCGGTGGTGTGACGGTCGACGGTCCTCTCCTCGTCTGGTATGTCGTCATTCAAGTTCAACTCGTCCTCCTCGTCGAAGCTGTCCTCTCGAGTATGAGACTTGTGCGACATGTCCGTACCTAAGCCGATCGACTGCGCGGCAGCGTCCCTCAGACGCTCTCGCTCCTCGTCTTCCTCGTCACGACGCGACGCGGTGATCTCTATGACTTCGGATAAGACCATGGGCTGAGGAGGGGGCTGCCTTATGGACTTTCGCCGCCGCCCAAATTTGAAGTTCAGTGCGTCCGAGGCAACGCCCAGAATGCTATGCCGAGACCTTCTGGGAAAATTGGGAGGGATCTCGGGGCGCACGTCTCGGACGGTCTCGAAGTTCACATGGGGAGAGGAGCCGTAGGGCGCCACGAAAGGGTCGGGATCTTTGAGCAGACAGTTCAGAATCAGTTCTCGCCCTCTCACAGCGCAAATAAGGCGGCACACACCGTAACCAGTCGAAGTGGAGTCCATGGACTCTGTTGGATCCCTTTCCTTGCCCTTCCCATTACTCCTAGACTGCGCCGAGGTAGACGAGGTGCGCGGTCTCCCTCCCATGAAAATGTCCGGGAACATGCTATTTCTGTGCGCGCCGTTCGATTGCTGGCTGTCGCGGTGCGAGGTGAATGCTCGAAAAGCCCGCGCCGACGACGATGCCGGCGAAGTTGGCCTAGAGGAGGCGGACATGCCCAGCGTCGGCGACTGGGTAGAGTAGCGCTGTCCAAGGAAGATTAATATAAGGCATAGACGAACGGGAACATCAGATGCCCGTTGGCAGAGCCGCAGAGGCGCCTGTGCTCATCAGTTTCGTGAGAAGAGAACTTACCCTGGCCTCGTCGTCGAACCAGGACTTCTGCGACGCGCTGCTCGTCGACATTGACGGCGGGGACGACTGGACGCCCGTTGCTATCCTCGCTGACCAGCGGCTAAGGGAAAACAAGGGACGTTGTGGATGCAAGCGTGCGTGCTACGGGACCGATCCATTTGGACTAGACCGGTAAATAATTTCACGACGGAGCGATCCCCGCGCTATTCGACCCGTGCCTGGTATAATTGACCGCTCGCTTACTCCTTGTTTTCTGCGCCACAACGCTGCGTTAACGTTCGTTGATCCTTTCTGCCCGACTGTGCCACCATCGCCGGCCTGTGCGCAACACCTAAGCTCGTCAAACCTGCTTACATCGACGGCCGAAAGGATCGTGTACGCGTATACGTTCAGTCTGATTCACGCTGTATTATCAACGGTCTTCGCGAGTTCTCTCAGTCCTCCAGCCGGCCGGGCACTGTAGTCAAGACTACCCACTCTCCGGCGTCCGCAAGTTACCTAGAAGGGCAATGCTAAATTAAAAGCACATGTTACGGTCGGTCCATCTTACTCATATTGGGCGTGCCATACGGCGTAAGCTGCGTTCTAGAATTTTTCTGAACGTCGCGGCGGGTAGCTTTCGCGGATGTGATGACGATCTGACCGCAAGGGTGTATGTACATACACATACAATATGCCAGGTAAGTCGGCCTGGCGCACGCGCAACCACCTTGTTGTCCGGTTCTCGGTGGTGGAGACATGAAGACACGAACTTGACAAATATGTAGTCAAAGACCACTGCAATGATCAAGCACAGTATTGTGACAATCTGTCGGAAGCAAAGTGAAGGGGAACCTCAATCATCATCTATGTCATACTTGACAAGCCTGTCATACGGGATCCACCGGCAGCCCAAGTAGAACATAAATTGCCCAATCAGTCTCAACCCGCCCCCGGAGTTCGCGGTTTCTTGTACGTCCCATAAGGCCCGACCGTCCCGGGGGCACCTCCTAGCATATTCTTCTGTAGTCTCGGAAAACTCGACAAGAAATTCGAACCCTCTGAATCATGCATGGCGGGTCGGACAGGTGCATCCGGCAGCAACCCAGCCAGTCGTCTCAGCTCCTCATTCTCCTTCTCCAGCCGCGCCAACTCAGTCTCCCGATCGAGTGCCCAGTCCGCGACTGCTTGCTCGAGCGAGGCGGGCTCCTCGTCAGGTTCGCCGTCCAGGGTCGGATGGTGCAATTCCCCACCGGTGATCCTATCGCGCTCGTAATCCGGTGGCATCAACGCGGGATCCTCCCCGTTCATCTGCCGGGTGACGAGGCGTAAGAGATTTGAGATTCGCGAGAGCGCCTCGGAGAAGGCTGTACTTGCGGCTAGCTCCCGCTCGAGGTCCTCCGTCTCTCGTGCGATGAGCTGTGCCTCGTATTCCTTGATCAGCGCTAACTCGTGCTCTTGGACTTCGTTCTGCCGGAATGTAAGACGTGGCGAGCGCCAAAGGGTGACATGACCGGGGTTGATCAGATTGCTGAGAGGAAGGGGCTCCGGAAGGCTGTACTCACTGCGCGGTTGCGGAAAGTGCTCATCACCGAGTCCAGTGTCTGTTCGTACTCTTTGATCAACGAATTCAGTTGCTTGTTGTCATAAGCCAGTGCTTGGTTGTCCGCAGCCATAGCGGCATTCATCCTCTCCAGCTCGGCTTCGTAAGCCTCTGTGCAGACATACTGCATTCAGCATGGTTGCGCACATAGTCGCCCTTGGGGCGAATGAATCACCTTTGGACTTGTCCATATTGAATCTACGCCCTTTCAGCTTCTAAGTAACCCTCCGCTCCAAAAGGAAAAGGAGCGTACCTTCGCAGAACGAACCCAGTTTGCGAATTTACTGCTTGTGTCTTATGCACCCACTGAGACTCAAGCCGCCGGGAACACGCCTGGCGGACATACCTTAACATTACCCAGCTGCGCGTGAAGTTGCATGGCCGTATCTCGATTCTGGGCGAGCTGGTCCGAGAGCTCTGAGATGAGGCCCCAGAGGCGAAGCATTTCTTGGTCGCCGTTACTGTCCATGACGGCCATCGGCGATGGTAAAGCACGAAGCAAAGACGGACGAGATGTTGGGAGGATGCGACACCGACAAGAATGGCAGCCTCGGATGCAATATTCGGCAACATCCGAGGATTTCAGTCAACGTTCAACGTTAACGCTGCAACCTGCACTGATCCTCTCGAATAATTGATCACACGGCCTCCACTTAGCTCGTGTTCCTGCGACAGCAGTGATTTGACTGATATCGAACCCCATTCTGGCGACTTCAGTGGAAAAAAGCATTTCCACCGTTTGGAGCAAGTTCGAAGCGTGAGTTTTCTTCAATAGAGCATATTCGGTGTGGTAATTACTACGGGTGGAGCTCCCAAGTAAGGGAATTTTGATGGATTCAAGCGACCCCATTGGCCCCACGCTGTGGTAATTACCACAGCGAATATGCTCTAATGTTGGTGCCTCTGGCTTCGCCGGATTCCTCCCGCGAAGATGGTGCATTGTCGACTTAGTGCAAGTCGCTTCACAACCTGCTGCTCAAATCTCTGACAGTGGAATGCCACAACCGTACTACGCACATCTTGGCCATTCGATCGGGCACTCTCCGGAGAGTATATCCCATAATCAAACACGTGTGGCAATATCTGGCATTGCTGGACAGCTGGAAGCTACATACTTGACATGAATATGGAGGATGAACGCCGCGGAGACGAGCCGCTACATCGCCTTTGGCAGTTCATTGTCTGACGCGGTCAGCCGGAAGCATGCCCGCCTGGTCCGAGGACATATGTGCGTCTCCGCGTTTTGCGAGTCTGGATACTGTGGCATAATATGGGGCGTTAGAAGGCATTCGTAAGAATGTTGATATACAGCTGGTATATACTTGGCGTTATCATCGTCTCCTTTCTTCCCATCTGGCGCGGTCCTGGTACAAACGTGTAAGCCCCGTATACCTCGTAAGGAGGAGAACTCACGATTCCTGGTGTTCGATCAGGTTGTCGAGTGACGAGGCAATTCCGTTGCCTCGGGTTTTCGTACCTTCCTCCTGCCTGGTGTTTGATTAGATTTGGATAGGCTCTAATACAGAAGTGCTGCAAGGCTTACACAGTGGCGTGCAGATTCGCCGAAGCCCCTGGCTTGCGTATGTCAGCCTCACCATCTGAAGGACCCTTAGTTTCCTCCATTGATCGACATACTGAGACCTCCAACCTGGCCACGTCATGTTACATGCACACGGACATTGTGGTTGCCAGAGACTCACTGGGGTTCGGGTTGGTACTTTGGGCGCTGGTCGGGACTGACATGTAAGGTAAGCACTCCGGCGCCGTGCATCTATGACATTGTCGAACTCACAGTGTTGTCCAGTATTTGATGTATTCAGGCGAGCACGTCATAGAGCCTAATACAACTGGCGCGAGGGTACCTTCTACTGCTGATCAAGGTGAGTGGAGAGAATCCTCGAGGTTGTGGTAAGATGGAAATGGCGGTCAGACATCCTTTCGTTTTTGGGGCTGATTCAAACATCAAGCCTCGGGCCACATACCTTTGTCAGACGCCACTCGCATTACCCATAAAGTAGGATCGCGCAGATAATGACGCCCCATCTCTGAACGAGATTTTGACCCGTGCTGCTTTGTCCAAGCACGCTATACAGTAATTCTGCTAAATAATGTAAAGTTGCATTCCAGGGTCTATTCGCAAGGCTTGGAGACAGCACAAGCGGGATGCGACACGTCATTATCGTAGCAGTACAAGGAAACCGTTCCACAGGAAGTCGGAGATACAGAACACAAGTATAGGTCGTCCATCCATAGAGCGGACGGTCTATATCCTGGCACCTGAGGTTCCCACTCAAGCTACTGTGTGGTGAAGCACCGTGGTGCCACACTTGCCAGACACGCGCAAAATGCGGTCATGTGATGCTGAGAAGACGCGTTCCATTGTTGTCACGTGTCGTGACACCGCCATTTAAAGCCCGACAGATGTGGCTAGGACCTACTTCAAGCTTGAGCTTGAACTTCCACCACACTACGAACATGGCGCCCGGTCCCCGTCGGGTGACCCGCAAGCGTGGGCAGCCTACTGCTGCGGAATCCGACACTGAACTTGATACAAACTATAACTTGACGGACGGCTCTGAGCCTGCACCTAAGCGGCGCAAGCAAATAACTACTACCCGTGCTAAACGTCCCACTGCGGAGGGGAAATCGGCGAACAGTCAAGTCAAGAAGAAAAAAACTGGTGGGCTGGCGAAGCTGGCTGATATTCCATTTGATATACTTGCGGAGGTACGCTTGAACCATGAAAGCGTACTCCCATTGCGCTAAGATCAAATGCGACAGATATTTTCGTTGCTTCATCCTCTGGATGTCTTGCACTTGTCGCGCGCGAATAAGTTCCTGAGGACTACGCTCATGAGCCGCAGTTCGGCCTTCATCTGGAAGGCATCACTTGCCACTCTTGCAGCACTAGAACTACCGCCATGCCCCAAGGACCTCACGGAGCCACAGTACATCCGTCTGATGTTCGAATATAGCTGCACTGTGGGTATATTTCGACATGGGTGTGAACAACCTCTTACATATCTGTTACTTAGTTCTGCAATGGACCTACGTTGGATCACGGCCAGTGGGGGCTCAGAGTTAGGTCCTGCAGGTCATGCTTGAAACATCGGTACTGTTCCTACGTGAAGTGCAATAGTACTTCTCATGACTAATCTTAACTGCTAGTGTTATTAGCGAGTGGGACGCTGAGTGTTTATTGCCGCATGACTTCCGTGACACGGGTCTGCCACTTTCTCAGATTGCACCACGCCTAGAACTTCCCAACGCTAATAAGCGTACGTTCCTCACGGACCCTGCATTTGGTTGTCTGATACAATGATCTCATTGTAGTTTTGAAGTGCGGCACTTGGTATCTCAAGTCAGACGTTCTGGCTCTAGCAGAAACGTTGAAGGACGTACTTCACGATGAAGCGAAGTTTCACGCCTTCCTTCGCGATAGATTGTTGTCTATTGCTATTATCAACATGGTGAGCCTCTCTCTTGATATCATACGGACGATTATTCAGCAGCTCTCATGCACTTGGAAGCATGCTCATCAAATGGCAATCTGGCAACGTGACTATGGTCATGAGCGGGAGGTGGACGCCATAAGAGATCGGCGAAAGAACGCGTGAGTATTGGCGGTGCCGTAGTGTGTCAATTGGGATTCACTATTCCATGGGCAGAATCCTCGACAAACTCAAGAAGATGGGCTATGAAGACACCGTCGAGAAGATGTCTGATGGCGATGATATGGAATTTGCATCACATCCACTAGTCAAGCCAGCTAAAGATCTTACTGATCGGAGTAAGTACTCATAATTAACCCCTGGTGGACTCGCTAAGACAGCTGGTAGTGTGGGCGAATATGCGGGACCAAATGGTCGAATTTATGGAGAAGATGAAAGCCCGCTGCCTCGCGCGCGATTGGAGGGCCAACATCCTCCCTAAGCGTCTGCCGCTGTTGAGGAAAGTGCTCAAAGAGTACTATCTGTCACAGGGTGAAAACGATATCCTCCCATCAATGGCGGATTTCTGTTTTATGAAAGAATTTCTGGACGTGATCGATGCCCCGAAGGATGTCGAGGTCACCGAAGCATCATTCTCCGACGTCGTGGCTCGCCTTCCAGAACTATCCGATGTTTGGCGGGAACAAGCGTTTGAGAAGATCCGCGCACTCCTTCCGACCAGCGTTGTCGAGCAGAATCACAGCCCTCACGACGTCCTTGCTCTGGCAACAACTCTCTTTTCCTGCGAAGATGGGCAGTGTGCGAACGTGATGACCTACGATCGGTTACTTGTGCATGAGTGTTTGACCGAGCGCCCGTATTGGTGGCGAGGAGAAGGGCCGGAGCTACCAGGAATCAACCCCGAAACATGCTGCGAGGAACTGAAAGGGATACCATGGGGGAGCTACAAATTTGAAGCTGTATCATTCAGCGAGGTGGGTTCGCAGCATGCGCGACGTATAGTGGAGCTGTGCGGCAGAGACCCGGATACAACCACTGCGGAGGAAATGGACAAACTAGACGCACGACTAAACTGCCTGTCGTGTTCCTCACTCAAAAGAGCGGGTCTGACCTGGCGACAAGCCGTAAGTTCCAGCATCTGTCCAATTTGGATCAAACTCACCTCTCCGCCTAGGTGGCGCATGCCGTACGAAACCCACGACGTCACCCTCACTCCGTAGACGGCTTTGCCCTCTTTGAACCTCATGATACTGCTAGGTTGAAAAAGCTCGAAGCCGACGCCTATTTATCCCCTACAATACGATCTTGGCGCTGTAGGTCATGCAGACTATACTTGCGTCACGGAGACACATGCTGCGGTCAAAGGTGAGTGTAAGGAGGGAAAGTCAAAATTTGGCCGGTAATGAATGCCCTTTCACAGAGCAATACGGAACCTGGACATCCGCTGGGACGCCGTGCCCATAGCAGTCCTTCCAAGCGAAGAATCGAAGTGTATGGGATCGAAATACGTCGAGCTCAGGTATTGTAATTGGTGAAATCCACCACTGAGAATCACACTTCGTATGACGGTGAATACTAGTCCGTGTATATGTTACATTCATGATTCTGCAAAAACCCCTTTGCTTCCGGAAAGCTCAGCACCGAGCTTGTACCCAAGCACCTATATGCGATTGAGTCGAGAAAGGACACACCACTGAATATCGAATACTTACCCTGTCCCACTCGATTTTCTGTCTTGTCAAGGGCAGGGCACGCCTCAATGACTTGAATGTCTTGTCGCTCATCTCCTGGTAAGAGTCGCTCAGATGTGTCTGGTACTTCCCCTCTTCTTCCTCGATAAGTGCGAGCAATTTAGACGCAGACGTCGAAGGATTGCTAGGCGTAATGGCTGGCGGGAGGGGTATGGTGAGGTTTTGCTTTGTCTCGAGCTGGACCTGCACAGAGCCCCATCGATCGTAAGGAGCTCGAATGTATGTTTTGGCTCGATAGGATGACGTACGTTCCCCTGCTCATAGTAATGTACGTTCACGAGAATTCTGCCCGATATGACCTTCTGGGCCAGATCAACTACGTATTCGGATCGCCATCTCCCTGACCAGAAGTTAGTCGGGTTGTACTTGTTCGCGACTATCTGAATCGTGAATTTGCTAGATGAGCCCGGGGTCGCGAACACGGATGCGACGCCTTCGTTAAAGTGCGAGTTGAGATATGACAGAGTGGAGGACTCCAGGGCAGCCCTAGCATCCCTGTCAGCCTCGGAACGTAAAGGTCGATGAGTGACTTGCCTGAATGGCTCTGCTTCCGAGTCTGGCTCTACTGGTTGCGCATCAGAAGCCTCCTAAGTCCATAGGAATGTTAAGGCCCGGGGTGAGACTCCAAGTTATGCGCAACTGACCAGGCTTAGATGGTCAAACCTGAAGCTTATCTTCGATCTGGGGTCAAGGAACCTATCCTCCCCTCCCTCCTGCCCCTCTATCTTCGCAGCCTCGCTGATGATAGACTAGTTGGAAGATCAGTGATGTTATGAGCACTCTCGAGGGTTCACGCCTATCGACGCACCTGGTGCTCGCTTCCCGGAACATCGGCGATGATGAACTGCGCTAAATTATACTCCTGCAGTGCCGGCAGGACACCCTCTTGCAGAGAGTCATCGTCCGAGATGATGTTCCGTACGTCTGTCGTCCGCAACGATCTGCAGCATGAGACGGCGCGCAGACTCGGAGAAGAAGGAATGTTCCTTGCCGTTGAGAACGTCGTTGATCTCTCCAGGCGGTGACTGAAGCAAGAATCTAGCAGCTGCCTGTACCCGCTCTGAGGAGTCCATCGTAGTGATGCCACTAATGGATTCAGGACTTCAATTTCGCATGCGGATTCCGATCGGGTCCAGCCGACGCGTCGCCTCATAGCTCTGAAGACCGCTGTTGTGCTGAACATGTACGCGCTCGCCGGGACCGTAGGACATGAACAAGCAAGGAAAAAACCTTGGATTCCACTGGTGTTACAATGGGGAAACTATTACTGCTACTAATACAAGTATAGGACGGTCTGCATTCAAATCGACTGGTAAGATTATAGCTTGGCCTTCTCCCCGAACTGCGACTCTGTTACGCCCTTACCCATGGCAGCAGTGGACGAGACACCGCCGGTAACGGTCTTCAGGAGGTTGTCGACATAGTCGGCGCCACTCCACTTTTGATGTGTCAAGACATCGCATCCAATCTCGCGCTCCTTGCGCTGGATGAGCTCCACGTACGCCTTCATACCCTCTTTCGCGTAGTTACGCGCGAAGAGGTCCGAAATGTACGCGTTCGAGTGGAGGCCTCCGAGCTATCAGGGTCGACATCAGCAATCGGGTAACTGGACGAACCGGACGCGTGAACTCACCGTGATGAATTGCCAGCAGAACCCGAGCTTCCCGAGCTCCCAGACGTAGTTCTTCATATCGTCGGGACCCAGGCCAGCTGCGTCCCAATTGAAAGAGGGGCTCAAGTTGTACGCAAGCCACTGTTTCGGGTACACTGCGTGAACGCCGTGTGCAAACTCCTTTGCCTGCGCAAGAATCGGCTTCTTGGTCTCCATCCAGAGCAGGTCGGCGTACGGCGCGTATGCAACGGCACGGTTGATGGCGCACTGCGTGCCGCCCTGGTACCGGTAGTAACCCTCACGCGTACGCGCGGCCTCCCAATCGAAGTATGGCACTGACTTAAGACCGAACTCCTTCTTCGCGATCTCGATGGCCTGGGGGTAGGAAACATGCGCGATCCGGGCGGCGAATTTGTCGACCGTAGCTGCCGAAGCGCGAGTCTGGTCGCGCAGAGCATTCGCCAACACGGTGGAGAACAGGGATAGATTCGCGGACTCCAGCCAGCTATCTTCGACCGCCTGCAACGCGTCCCCGGTCTTCCCCTGGGCCTCCGCCTCGTTCATAACTGCCACCAATGGACGCAAGTTTGGATTCGTCGAGCCGAGGATGAATGCATGGTCGCGTTCGTCGACATTCGTCGTGATCAGTGTCGCTGCCTCCGAGTCCGTCCGGGCGATCACAAGGTTATCAACACCCATGATGTCGAACTGGAGACGGATCGCAACGAGGCGGTTGATGTGCTCCTGGATGGGCACAAGCACCTTACCCGCCATATGACCGCATTTTTTTGTCCCTGGAGCCTGGTCCTCAATGTGGATACCCGCGGCGCCCTTCTCGACGAACATCTTCGCGAGCTTCATGACAGCCGTCAGACCGCCGTGGCCTGTGTCAGCATCAGCGACGATGGGACGAAGGTAGTCGATAACCGGCGTGCGCTGCAGCTCTTCTTCGGACATGTTCGAGCGCGCTTCTCGCTGCTTTCGGTCGTGGAAGAGTTGTGCCATGAAGAGGTGCTCTACCTTGTTAGGTACGGTGTTAGAGGGGTAGTCTGCGGTGTGTCGTCAAATGAATATCCTGGTCAAGAAAGGATATCTACGAACCAGCAAGATCCGGTCCAGGTTCGTTCGTGCTCGAAGCGGTACTCGACGATTGCCAACCAGAGACGTAGACCGTTTCCAAGTACTTGGCCATCTGCGTCACCTGCACGGGGTCAAGTCTGAAGGGGATGATCAGAGGGGCTCTGTTGGAATTCATGGCTGTACTTACGCTCCATAGGTATGCGATGGCGTCCCCTCCTTGAAGTGTTTCGACAAACTGGCCCATAGCTTTTTAGCTTGAATATTCGATGGGTACTGGATGGGGATGGTTCCTCGCTTAGACACCACCTGGGCGGCCGTATAAGGTCTCTTCACGCGAGAGAACCGTTCGCTCTGTGTGCATTGTCAAATTCAGTACTTCTCAGGTACCCCGTGCAACCTCCTCACCTTCCACCAGTTCTCGACCTCTCTCACTTCGGCCTGAAAAGCTTGACGTTCGTGGTGGACCATGGCTGGGAAATAGGGGGAGTAAGGGGAAGCAGGGGGGGTTAGAGGATGGGGGAAAGCGGGGAAGGGAGGGTTAAACGAATGCGGGGTGTTATATCATTCCTGGTTGCTTATATCTTGTGCCACCAGGCCAAAAGGTGTGCTTGTGTATGACGGCTGGGGCGACATGTGATTCGCGCTAGACCGGAAGAAGACCGAATGCGGGGTACGAGCTGCACGTCGGCTAACCAGATCCTTTCCGTCTCCTCCGCATCCTTGATTCTAGGCGTCGGATGCGGGACAGGCAGAGGTTGGATCATGTTTGGACCGGCCGTGCATCCCCCAGTTCACCCCGCCCGGGGTTGAGATCAACCGGCGGCGCACCGACTGTCGTTTATACGCACTCCTTCCTCCCCTACTAACGATTCACTCCGGTCTAAGTCCCTGACGTCGCTGATACCGGGCAGGGCGTATTGAAACAATGCGCTCGAGGCCCAGCTGGACAGGAGGCCAATCCGCCTTAGATGCTTTCCAAATTCGGTAATGTCGCACTGGTTTCCTCCTGGCCACAATGAATGCGTCTAGCTAGGTCCAGCTCGTACGTTAACTTTTCCCTATTCGAAGCCCTACAACTCACAAGATGTACATTCCTTTGTTACTGATTCTGCGGAACTCAGACTATCCTTTGAACTATTGATCGAGCCCGGGTTGCAAGGGCGTTGTTGCCAAGGTTAAGGCTTCACTTGATCTCGTCTATTTTGCCCTTCGAGGCTCCGTGGCGATCAGTGGTCTCCGAGCATTTTCAAGCATCTCCAACCTTCATGCTCGTACAGCGCTCGTCAACCTTTTCTATTTCCTTCCCCGCTCGGGGTCTATGAAATCACACAACGAGCCTTGCGACCTCGATTCGGCCTTACAGCAACGATCTACGTTTAAACCAGGTTCCCTATCGGCCCTCAGGCTGGTCTCAAGAGAGTTAGAATTGTGTCTCATTGGGGCTTCAGAGGCCGGCAAAGCGTCTTCAAGAATTTACCAATGACAGTCGATAACTCTACGGAAGGACAGAATCGACACCATGGCGAGCATGCCCAGACAAATTTTAGGCATCTTCTGCAGACTCCAGGCACCGTCCCAGGACACATCCGTTGTCACTTAAAAGCGTCTCACAGACACGGTCAATCCGTTATTTTAGGGCAGTTGTTCATGCATCCAGCCTTTATTTGATGATTCTTATCCAGTGACTATCAATACATGTCATTGCTCTTCTCCTTCATGCCGCGGCCTTCACGCAGGCGGGACATTCAAGCCCGCCTGGAAAGCGGGCCGTGCCTCGGAGCGCTCGACCCAAGCCTGGAATAGAATAATGAGCGATAAGTCACACAGAAACACGCTGCACTGACCTTGACGTTAGGCCATTCATCGAGAGTTGGAATTCCAGAGTGGGCATGGATCCGCACCCTAGCGAGGTATTTGATGAGCAACGTGGGTGGAGTTTATCACCATTGGAGCTCACCATGGGAGAGCTTTGATGTCGGCGACAGAATATTTGCCCCGACCAGGACCAGCCAACCAGTCACGGTTCTTCAGGCGGATTTCAAGGACACCATATAGACGCTTCGTCTCATCAATGTAACCTAGGACACAGGTAAGGCGAAGTCTATTCGCGAGGGATGATGTTCTGATACTCACGCTTCTTCGCATATGGGATGTCCTCGGGCGCGTAGCGGTTGAAGTGGTTAGCTGGATGAAAATATGAGAACAGTCGTAGACATCGCGAAGCTGGGGAACGTACATTGCCCCTGCATGGGTCCGATGCCTCCATGCTATGGCGTTTGTTAGCTTACTAACGCTGCTTACGCACCGCAACGGACTCGACATACCGCGAAGAACAGCCACTGCAGCTGCTCGCTGTAGTCATCAGGCTCCTTCACCGGGTCAAAGCCAAACTCGAGGTCCTTGTCGTAGTGCTGCACCAGGTACAGCAAGATGGCGGAAGTCTCGAAGACGTTGAAGTTGCCCCTGGCGCGGTCAATGATGGCGGGGATGCGCCCGTTCGGGTTGATCTTGATGAACCAGTCCTCTTTCTGGGTGTTCGTAGAGATGTCAATGGCCTGGTAGCTGGTCCGACAAGATCAGTGCCATGTTACACTTGCATTAGGGACGGCCCGGACGGGTCCGACGTACTCGTACAGATCCTTGCCATACTTTGCCTTCAGTTCCTCTAAGAGGATGGTAATGGGGAACCCGTTGGGAGTCCTGCCAGTGTAGAGTAAGATCGGCTTGTTCGACATGATGCTCGACGCGGTAGAAAGATGGCGTTGGGTGGTTCGAAGGCGGTGGGAGATAGAGAAGATACTCGCCATTGCTAGTTATATGTCGCCAGTCCAGCTGGTCCAGGGCGAACATAAGACGCCTTTATGATGCAATGGGTCCCAGTGAAGAGCTATCATAAGACGGGTTGGCTGAGTCATGCATTGGCCGCGACATGATTAGAAAGCGTAAGATAGAACATATGCATGGTTTCCCCATTCGAGATATTGGGTATAGACTGGCAGGGTTTTGTCATCCAGGATCCAAACGACGGCGACTGACCGCGAGTGGACAGCAGAATATCGCTCTCTGGAATGATACAATTACAAATGCCTACATGTTACATGTGCAGAGATGCATTGCTGACGAGACAAAACCGACTGACAAAGAGTGAATGCAAGTCTATATAATAGCACGGAGCAGCGAGACCTGTGCTGGGTGAGGGAGGAGTGATTCTCCAGACGCATACAAGAGTCCAAGACAGTCCATGCCATAGTGAAAATCGTGAAGGGAGGGAGAGAAGAGGGAGACCAAGCTTTCGGCGCCTAGAAGATACATACCAAGGCAAGATGCATACAATTCGACATAATAAACAAGAAACGGGCGGGCGTTCACCTGAAATCATACGCCAGAAACCCGGCTTGGCATACCATTCCGACCTGCATACCCGTCACGATCCTTCATCCATAGCTTCGGGAGACCGGGGGCGACTAGCGGGTGGTGATATTGCCATCGACTCCCGCGTCGCATTGTTTCGTTCTTGGGGAGTATGCGCTGCTTCACCGCTCGTTCCCTCATCGGGAGTACGGCGGTGACTCGACGGCGGCCGGTGAGTCGGCGCCCTATCGCGTTCCCACTCCGAAATATGCTGAGGTGTCTGTCCACCGCGCGAATACGAGTTATTCCGATGAAGAGGCGGCGGTGCAGCAGATTTGGAGTTGATCAAGGGAGAACGAGTATGAGGCGAGCCCCTACCGTAGACACTGCCGTGGGGAGAGTACGGCTGATACAGATGCGGCTCGCGCGACGGTCCCGGGAGAGACTGCGAGGGTGCAGGCTCGTACCGCATAGCAGATACCGATACGCGTTTATTCACGTCAAACCCGACAGGCGAGCCTCGTTCCGAGCCTGGGATGCTGCGCGCATCGTTGAAGTCTCCGCCTGCTGAGGACCTACCCGTGGATGACGGCCTCCTAACGAGGTCTGGCCGGCGTGGTATACTCGACAACTCCGCAACCGGGGGGAACGTGTACTGATTGTCCGGCACACCTGGTCCAACTAGAAATGAGGGGACATCAGAAGCGCGTACAAGTCGTTTCTCATGCCTCCCACCTCTAGTTCTGGCGCTAGGAGGCACAGATGACGGCATATGCGAGACAGGCTGCCGCACAGGCCCTGGGTTCGCCGCTGCACGCGCCGCGTACAGCTCCTCCTCCAGCTCCCCCACCCTCCTCTTCAGCCCATAAATCTCCTCGCGCATCGGCGCAACCTTGCGATCCACCATCGTCTCCACCATCTGCTCAACCCGCTCCTGCTGCTGCTGCACATTCTGCACGAGCGCGTGCGACTTCTGCAGCTGCTCCGCGAGCCAGTTCTTCAGCTGCTTCGAATCAGCCAGCGCATCGTAAAACATTTCGAACGGCGCCAGGAAGGCCGACTTCTCCGCAGCATAATGCGGGTGCGCGAGGGATGTCGGCGTCGGCGGGACGAGCGTCGACGCAATCGGCACGGTGGGTCCCTGCGGCGACCGCGCCCCGGCTACCTGGGACGGCCCAGCACGAGCGGTGTTGCTGAGCATCCCCAGTCTCGTAGGCGTAGGCGGCACGCGACCGATTGTCGTCCGCGTCGCCCCCTGCGCACCTGCTCCCATCACCGGGGGAAGGCTTGGCAGCGCCATGGGCGGACCAGCTTGTTGACTGGCTCTGGGGATGGGCGGGGCGCTCTGGATGGCAGGCGGGGGTACCGGGTCGCGCGAGCTGACGATTATGTCCGCTGGTTTCTTCTTCACGCCGCCTAGTTGGGCTGCGCGCCGACGGGCGAAGCTGATGGGCGGAGGCGGGAGTGCGTTGGGGAGTGGTCCGCCAGGCGCTTCCGTGAATGAAGGTGGCGGTTCGGGGTGGTTCGTGCGGATGGGGGTACTGGGATTATGGGCATGGGCAGTCTGGGTTTGAATGTTAGGAGGGCTGGGACGATGGTGGTGCGTAGGAGCCTGTGGGGGGCTGCGCTGGCTGGTGCTAGGTGCAGCTATAGTCGCGCGCCTGCCGCTTATAAGGCTACTGCCTGGCGGATTAGGCGGACTACGTCCGGCGCGAGTCGACTTGCGACCGGGCTCGTCAGAGACAGAAGGAGGGTTGACGACGTTTACCGCAGGCGGACCAGCACTCTGGCCAGGGACGGACATCACGCCCGCGACGCTACCCCTCCTCTGCTCGATCAGAGCCTTCTGTTTCTGCTTAACAGACAGCATGGATCGTACCTGTTCGATAGCGGCTGGATCGTCTCGATTGAGCGTAAAGCCCATTACCACCGGCGAGACAGGCGTAGCATGTTCCGATCCAGCACGCTGGACGTTGATGTTTAGCGATGGATGGGTGCCGCTGATAGTGACGCGACGTCTTTTGGGAGGATTGGGGTATGCACTGGAGGGTGGGGGCGCGCTGCTCGTATCTTGGAGGGATCCGTGGAACTGCTGGCTAGATTGGGCAGATGGGGGAGTGTGTCGATCTACAGGGTCGTGCTCTTGTTCTTCTTTGATACGGACCAATCGCGGTGAGCGGTGTCTCCTGAGATATTACATACATGAACACACTCCACACAAGGACCGAGCATTTCGAGACAAGGGACGTACTCAGAGTCAGAAGTGTCGTTATCGTGCTTACCGGACGCCGAGCTTCCCCCTGGGTGTGCACGCTTTAAACTGCTACGCTTCGGCAGCCCGTCTGCGGCTGCGTGCCTGCTCTCGTCCTGAACGGGGGGCGAGTCCACGCGACGGTGGTTCGCGTCCTCCATGGACGGCAGACGGTTCTGTATGGGAGGTAGTGCGTTGCTCTTGGATGAAATGGAGTTCAAGGAAGGGGTGCTGAAGGCCTGCGCGAATGAAGGTAAAGATTGTGGTGCGTGTGTGGCCATGTTGGCGTGGTTGATGGACATCACGAGTCGTGCCAGGACGTTAGAAACAAAAGCGAAGAGAAAGAGTAGACTGGCAGTTGGCGGGAGAAGGATGGACGGCGTCGTCGACGGCGGCGAGCCCAGGCTGCCCAACGACGAGTACGCTGCGGTGGTGGGCGAGGAAAGAGGCCTCAGCGTCGACGGGCAGAGTTGACGGCCTTGATAGGAGCAATGGAACCGACCAAGGGGATGCCGTTAATTATTATTATAGCCCGTCGCGTAATAGTCCCTTCGATCAGAATAATGAAAGGAAATCAAACAACGTCCGTGGCCTGCGCGATGTCTTTCTGACGACAACGACGGTCCGCCTTCAAATCGCAGCTGCGACCCATGCGTGTCTGCTGCGGCCTCCGAGCTCTTATACGCGGGCGGCGGCGCCCTCGAGACGCGTATCGCGTTCGTTGACGGCGAACCTGATGAATCAGATGTTTTGATGTCTTTCCCGGATGTGTCGGACGCGCCCCGCGGTGGCCGTCTGCGTATAAAGGTCAGTCAATCGTGATTCACTCCCATTGCGCAGCTGAACTTTGTCGCAGGCAAATCTTTGTCTGTGCGCCTGTTTCATGCAGACGCGCGCCCGGTTGACTCTTTCTGACCGCGTTATTTACGGCGTTCCGCTGGCCTGTCGATTGCTTCCGGATCCGGGCCTCCTTCGGGTGGCTTCCTCCTCGCGAATCCGAGCAAATTGCGGTACGTGGGAGGCTTGCGATCGATTCTGCGGTACGCTATGCATAGCTTATCAAACTCGTCCGAAAATCCCCAAGAGGATGTGGGCCAGTTCAAAATAACCACTACGTTTCTGCTACAGCTTGTCTGACTGCGAGAACCGCCTTGAAACTACTGCGATACGCTGTACAAGAGTACGCATACACGTTTTGACTTCACTCCCAGTTGGCGGTGGTGCGCCCGCGCTCAGAATGCCATTTCACCACCGCCCGGCCCGCTTCACGAGTCTCTTCTTGGCATCTGCAGGTGGCAGAAGCACTTCGACGTCTCGTCCTCAGACGGCAGGTACCAACGAGGTCCCATCCCAAAACCCACAACCGTTCCTGTCCCTGCCGACGGCGCTCCCGCGCGCATAATCGTCTCTTTCAAGGACAAACACGGTTTGATCGTATACGAGGCACAATCGTCCAGCAAATGAAGCGCGCAATCATTCGGCTTTGTTCTCAAACATCTTTCACCAAGAGCTTGACCATCCGGTTTTAATTATGCGTGAGTACCGAAACCGGGATTCTCAGCTTCTGTCTCCCTCCTTTCGAATCTCGCACTTACTTCGTCACTCGCGCTTCTGGACTTGGGCATACGTCGGACATACGTGGACCTCCTGCGCTCGTACGTACCGTGAACCCACCGCCCGCTTCCGTCCAATAGGGACAACGGGCTGTTAACTCCATGAACATGTCACGCTCGCAGCCAATAGAATCCTCCCGAAGACGTGCCAGTCTGCATTCCTGCGCTTCGCAGTCTCGTCATCGCTCTCTCGATCTGTCCTTCACCTGCCAGTTACGCGCCGAAACGTGGCTCAAACAATATCCTCGTGCTGTTCTGCGGAAATCTCCAGAATGCAGATGGAAACGTATTCTCTCTAGCACGCCCTTCGTCAGTACACGAGGATATCTAGAAGCGCAATGCAATATGGAATTAGAAACCGGTGCGATTGAGAATGACAAGTAGACACGTTGACGTGGCTACCTACCGTACCATGCATCCCGCTGATGCGTCTTCTCACAACAAACATAGGTCGACGCAGCGATGTCTCAAAAGTCAATAAAGATAGGACAGACGTACATGGCAGTTATAATCATAGCCACTGCATGTTCGAATGGGGCCGGTACGTGACATTGACAGCCATGATGGGCGTGAGGAGGCGGTTACAGAGAAACACCGTTGTTGAAGTCGCATTGCGAATTCAGCATCCTTTGTTTTGCCTTCTGCTGGAGAAGAGAAAGGATGGACACATACAGTTATATTGCGCACCGTTTCTTCCCATGTCCGCCGTCTTACCGGGGAATAGACTAGAGAGCCGTTGAGAACGTACGGGGTTCACAGGGAGTGCCGGCGGTACACATATCTTGATATACGTTGGCTATCGACACGGGCCACTCCGATCCCTGCACGATGATGGAAGCAGCCTCATTATTTCATTCAGGCATATGGTTGGCCAGATGTACTGTCCAATGGGATCCGGCAGGTATTAACAAACGAGGTCCAGAGTCACCCGCAGGAAAGCGACGGTATCCGCCAATAGGGATATTTAGCATGCCATAAGTTCAGAGATACTTGAGGTAGTGAATGGCGAGCTCTGTCCACACGGAGACAGGTTCATTAATACGTGTGAAGACGGTGCGCATTGGCCGAGGTGGAGGGTGGTTCGACTTGAAGTCTCTAGCACCCAGACTAGGAGCATCCAATCGGCTCCAGAGCAGCATTGGCAGCACGGTTGTAGCACCACTAGTATATACGAAGATACTACCTTTGCTTGAGACCAAAGGCGCGTTGTCGGCATGTGGACACGAAGCGTCCATGGTGACTCGCCCAGTCGCCTTGCCTACTAGAGCCGCGAAAGAGCATCAGGACTCCACAGTGATCTCAACGACGAACGGTGCAGAGATACTTAAATAGCATCAGGAGGACGTATCAAAGCGCGACGTAGTGAAACCTGCGGATGTTCCGCCGCCATGAGGTCGGACATAGGTCCACAGTCGACCGACGATGATTTGATCGAAACGACAGTTATCAGGCTCGATGTAATCCCACGAAGACGATTCCATCAAATCTGCAATGACATCGTTTACTAGTGCCCGAAATGCGGCCGTGAGTTGAGAAACCTGGAGCGTATGGAGCTAGCACCGGGCATACTAACAACCCCGGACAATGGCGTATCATCGCCGGGGGTGTCCACTTGTTCTGGAAGCCCTCGTCCGCCGTGGATGCGATTGCGTCGACCCTTGCAGACTACTTCGTTGAACTGTGGAGGCCACATACGTAAACCCGAATAGCAGGAGACCGCCTCACGATATAGCAAGGTTGAAGACAGCAACATAATTCCCATCGCCCGAAGGGTGGCCTGATTGAACAGACGTAAGGACCATAGTAGTGGACAAAAAAAGCAAGTTGTTGTCGCATCCCGACCGACAATTCGCAGAGACCACATTGTCATAGGGGTCCGCGTGAATTGTCAAGCATCACCTAGCAGGAAAGCCCGGGATATTACATACGTATCGTTCTGCCTTATGAATATGTCCTGGAGGTGTCCAAACGGGGTGACCCATAGGCTTTGTTTCTTCTGCCACTCGTACGTCCGGATGGAATATCAAATGTCTCCGTATGCTCTCCACACCATACGCAGTGAAGCGAGCATCTGGAGACTGGAATGATTGCTATCCTTGGACGCGTACGTCTTGAGGTCGCAGTAGGAAGCTTTTGGGAACGGACGCAAGGGCTTGAGATACCTGACATCGAGCACACCGCCATAGATGCCGAGCCAACAAGACCGCAATTGACACCCTCGGATTGCCCATCGCATACCACGGAGCCCAGCATGAAGCACGCAGATTTCGCCGCCAGAGAAGGTCCGGTACAGGTCCAAGATGGCCGACATCAATGACAGCGGTCCCAGAGCGGACGTGACGGCGAGGAAGGCACGCGCAGCGCCGTTTCCCACGTCGGCCGCTACGCGATACGATGTCGAGGTCCTTGCGGGACGCGCTGCTCAAGGCGCTCGAGACGCTCCCTGGCACCCGCCAATTCCACCTGCACGTCCTCGTCTCCGCCCCGCGCAAGCACGCCGGGCTGTACCCCTACGCGCACCCGCGCCCGAAAGTCTACCTGTCCGACGTCCTCGTCCTCCTGTCCGAGCAGAAAACGCCCGACGCGCCGCGCGTGTTCGTCGCCGGCATCGAGGCGTACTTGTACCATGTTCCCGCCACGTCGTGTCTCGTGCTGAATGTGGCGAAGCTGGACTCGACCGGCCAGGCTGCGGCTCCGTCGCCCACCGCCACTTTAATACGTGCTTTCATTGCGTACTATGGCGATCCGGCGACGAGACCCATTAATGCGCAGCACCTCTGGATCCATCTGTTTGCTAGAGCGCAGAACCAGTACATGTTTCCAAACTCGTCCGAGCATCCTGGCAAACATCCCTTGTCCGACATAAAGCTGTGTGCTTGGTGGAAGCGTATACTCAGCGATGTAGCAGCGGACTTGGAGTCTCGCATTGGTGAAAAAAGCAAACTCCGACTCTACTATGTGCTACCCGGCTATAGCGAGCTAGAGGCCGTGCAGTCCTTACATTCCGCTTCCGCATCTTGGTCGACGCGTAAACAACCCTCGGTAGCGTGGATTTATGGACACCCATATTCTCAGACGGACATACCTCTACCGTGTTCCAATGTGCAGCCTAAAGAAGGGCAAGAGAACTTGGGGCTCTTCATCCCATCGTTCGAAGATGACCCAAAATCCAGGTTCATTGACGAGATTGCATATACAGTCGAAGGAGAGGGCGTCAGGTCTCCGCAGCGGAAGCGGGCAAGGACGCTCACTCGTACGACCAGCACGCGAGACATCGAAACCACTCGGGATACCTCGAAGGAACGGCACAATGAAAATGAAAAAGATCAGGACGAACGCCCCCAGGGAGAACTAGGCAAAGTCTCCCCGAACGAGTTTTGGGAGCGCATGTCCTTCCGCCAGGAATGCATATCCGGGGCAGTCACCGGTTTCTTCGTCATGGCCGTTTCGACCCCCATGCCCGCCGATACAACCGACCCTCTTGCGCCGCAACCGGGCCAAGTATCGGCGCAGATGATCAAGCGCATAATGGCGACCCTCTTAACGGGCCACGAGTTTTCCAACGTCGAGCGGGCCGTTCGGGCGACAGAGTCGCTGGAAGCGTCTATCAAGGGTCTGTGCGACGGGGTCTCCCCTGTTCCCTCCGCTCCGATAAAACCACTGTCGTCCGGAAAGCCACTGTCTTCTGCGAAGCCACGATCCTCCGCAAAACCAGTATCGTCTGCACGACGGGAGAAGACTCCTGAACGCGACGCGTCCTCGTCGTCAAATGACATCTATGCATCCCTTCCCCGCACGCCGCCTCGCCGTCCCACCCAACTGCCAGAGGATACGCGTTCTGCCTCTCCAAGCCCGTTCCCGGAGCCAGAGACGTCCCTGGACACGTACCACACTTACATTTATGGTTCAGTCCAGGTGGACAATCCCTTGCCGCCACCGAAAGTGGACGCTGCGGGGGAGGGAGGGCAAGCTGCTGATGGGGGCGTGGAGGAGCCCAAGGTCACGGTGTTGACTGTGCGGAAGAAGAAAAAGAAAGCGGATAGCTGAGTACCTTGCAGACGACCCTGCTAATATCTGAATCTGTGCGGCACTTATTCTGGTAGGACGCTCCTAACTCATGTTATCGAGGCAACGATTCATTTTTCCGCCACAGATAGTTTTGAGTGGGTGTATATAGGGGGTCCGAGGGTCAGTCGAGGGTTGTAGTAGTCGCTTTGCTGTGGCATGTTTTCCGTTTGTCTTGCTTTCGAAATGCATGTATGCTTGGGATAGTTCGCCACGTTTTCTGGCCAAGATGCCTCGATTGGATTCCTCCCTACGGGCCATCCACTCACAAGAAAGACAAGTAGTCTCGATATGCGGCAAGGATACACGTCGACGATTACTAGACCTTCCATATATGGTCCGTGGGAATAGCCACACAAATATTCAGCTTTTCCACTCGCCAATCAAGTCGGTGCTCGCTGCAGACACCATGAAGCCCCGATTACAGGTCGGCCGCCTGCTGGGCACCCGCTCCTACGCGACGAAAGTAACACCACGCAAGCCCATGCCCGCCGAGCGGCCGCCCCAAAAGTACGCAGACCCGCTGGCGAGCAGCCCCGTCGCCGTCGCCACGGCGCTGCCGGACAACCTGACCTTCATCCACCGCCCGCCGCCGTCCGCGCCCTCGCCGCACTCGTACACGACGCTGCCGGCCTCGCCGCTGCTGCGCCCGCCGGCGGGGCACAGCGCGCAGGGCGTGCCGCCGCACATCCGCCCGTCGGCGAAGAAGACGCCGCCGCCGCGCATGAGCGACGAGGACCTGACGGAGCTGAAGAGGTTGAGGTATGCAGACCCGAAGACGTGGACGCGCGCGGCGCTCGCGAGGAAGTTTAATTGCACGAAGCAGTTTGTCGGGCTGGTGACGTGCTTGCCGAATACGGTGCGTAAAGAGATCAAGGCGGTCAAGGCGGTCAAGGACGAGGAGAATAGGGAGAAGTGGGGTCCCAGGAGGAGGATGGTGAGGGAAATACAGAAGGAGCGCCGGGCGTATTGGTAGAGGTCGTATTATGGCCTGGTGCGTGTCCTTCGCTCGCATCTTGCATTCGCAACTCATAAACCGATAGTGCTACCGCTCCCAGATTTCATATCGCATAATCGTACTTGCTTGTATACTCTTCCAGTACGGAAGAACAGTCACGCATCCACATCCTCCGCGACCCTCAGGTCCTCACACCCTCCCCCACTCCTCCACCTCGCAATCCCAAACCGATGGTTCACCCCCTCCAGCCTCGGGAGACACGCCACGCCGCCACACCCGCCCGTCTTCTCCATAGCATACAGGTACACTACCTCCTTGACCCGCGAATGTAATAGCGCCATGCTGCACATGATACACGGCTCGTGCGTCGTGAAGAGCGTGAGCGAGGTGAGCAGGTAGTGCGTCCCGTTGCGCGTCTTGTCCGTTTCGGTTTGGATTTCGGTTGTTGGAGGCTGATTCGTGAGCTCGCTTGCGCGGGAGGGGCTGGCGGCGCGGTAGTCGCCCACGGCCCTGATAACGTTGATCACGGCGTGCTTCAGCGGGTGCGCGAGGCTCGTCCTCGTATCATGCGCGGTGAACTCCCGCGTCAAGCTATGATCCGCCGCTGCCTGATCCTTTGAACTTGCATACGGAACCGGTACGTGCGCAGCGATCGGCAGCTGCGAAACGCATCCAATATTCCATCAGTTCTTTGTCCCACATAAAGTAAGCTCTTGCTAGAGAATACGCATACCTCGCCCTTGAGCGCTGCCTCCCTCGCAGTCGCCACGACCGCGTTCATCGCCGCGCACGCCCACCGCACCCGCCCGCGCTCCCACTCTTCCAGCTCGCCCTTCCGGCGCGGGGCGTACATCGTCGGCCAGAGCGTCGACTTGACCTTGCACGAGCTCAGCGTGAGCGCGGCGGTCTTGGGCACGGCGAGCGTGTATGGCGCTGGGAGCGGAACGTCCGCGGGCAGCACGGGGGGTTCTGATAGAGAGGTGACGCGCGAAAGGAGGAGCGAGGTGGTGGAGGTGACGGGGGATTTGCGCACGCGTTTGAGGTGGGCGAGGGAGGGGTCGTCGAGGCCGGAGGTGCGGAGCCATCTGGGAGCGAGTTGAGTGCGAGGAAGTGGAAGTGAGAGATAGGATTACGGACTTGAGCATTGCGATGGTCTGTTTCGGGTCGGGGAGGTCGACGACCCATGCTTTGACTGTGGACAGGATTTGGTACAAGGAAGGCAGGGGGTGGTGCTACTACTAACTGGTGTGGACACTTTCTAGCGTTTCCTCCTCCGGATCTTCGATCAGTTTCAGTCGCGTAAAGGGTAGGTCCGCGTCTGGGATGATATCATTTGGATCGCCGTTGGGGAAGGAGAAGGGCCCCGAGTCCTGGTTTTGGTTGTCCACCAGGTCTGCGAGAGGTCCGAGCCCTCCCCACCCATCGTCAGCCTCCCCCTCTTCAGAAGCCGGGGTTACACCAGCGCTGCCTGCATCAGCATTCTCGAACCACAGCTTGTGCCCGTAGAATATACACAGCTCCTCGTCCGGGGCGACCGCGCGGGTAGTAGTGTACCGGATAGACTCGGTCTCCGTATCGAGCGTGTAGGACACGTTCGGGTGGTCGGAGTGGTTGAATAAAGAACCTGTGGTGGACATAAATTAGCAGCCGCTTTATCGTTGCATGACACCAAACAGAAGACAAGAACTGACCTAATCCGAGGGCGAGGGCCATGCGCCCATCGCGCCATTTGAATGTGTAGTGGTCGATGACCGTGTGCCGCCCGTGGTCGCGGTATTCATCTTTTGTAAATAGGAGGACTGGGGAGATCTCGATGACGGTTTGAGGGTCGATTCTGCGGGTCGCTGGTAAGGGTACGGATCAGTGACTTCCGTAAATCGAAACATAGAAAAAAGCCATACCGAACACGCCTCTCCCTTTGCCTTCAGAGTATCGGATGCAGCACCCTGTGCTGTTGAGGTGCTGGGGCGCCTTGCGAGTCGACGTCGAGGGCTTGCCCTCCGAGCTGGGAGGAAGATGGAATGCGTCCGACATCCGACAAAGCGTCCGAAGGCGACGCGTGACCGCGACACGTCGACTTTGCGCACGCGACTGTGCGTCGATCGTACACTCAGGCTGCTCACCACCGCCGACGTCGACAACGGCGAAATAATTGGATTTATTGATGAAGATACACGGCTGTGTATCCTTGTAGAACCCGTATTCCGACGTCAGGCGTCAACATGGCTAACGGTCCCCAGCCCCGGCCGCTCCCCTCCGTCCTGCTGCTGTCTCTCCTTCCAATAGCCGTATGGCTCATATTCCGGCCCCTGCTGTCCCCCGCCCCTCCACTACCCGCCTTGCACTCCTCGCTCGGCTTCAGCATCATCGCGTTCGTGGCGGCGCTGTACCTGGTGCCCGCCCTCGGCGGGATCATGGTGAAGGCAAACCTGAAGGGGAGGGACTTGCTAAAGACATATGATACTCCGATGTACGTAGCTATATGTTTATGCTGTAGGCTTGGAAATGATATTGGGATGATCGACGTAGACCAGAGAGCCTCGGGCTCGTATGCGCGTCCATATATATACTCCTGCTAATATTGTTCATTCCGTTCCCGTTCACGAGCTGGTATAATGGTCATGGCGGGAATAGCTCCGGCTCAAAGACGAGAGAAGGCCTCTCGATAAACGAGTTTCCCCACCATCTAGTGAGCACACCCATGCGTTCGTTGGATACGGGGATCCATGGCAGACCCGTGGATCCCCGTACCCCACGAAGCTCTTCTGCTAGGCTCAGTCCCCGCTGATAGCTTGACATGCGCCCAGCTCTCCCTGTACCTGTCCTCCCTCCTCTCGCTACTAATGGCCACCATGCTCGGGTTTCTCGACGACATCTTCGACATCCGGTGGCGGCACAAGCTGCCCATCCCCATCATCGCCTCCATCCCACTCCTAATGGTCTACTATGCCGAGGGCGGCAACACGCACGTCGTCGTGCCCATCCCTCTCCGGCCCATCCTCCGGCGCAGCCTCGTTAATCTCGGTGAGCCTCCCCCTCCCCTCCGCTTCCCCCCTAACCCTCCCCTTTCCCCGCAGGCCCGCTCTACTACCTCTACATGTCCCTCCTCTCCACCTTCGCAACGAACAGCATCAACATCCTGGCCGGCATCAACGGCGCCGAGGCCGCGCAGGCGCTCGTCATCGCGCTCTCCGTCGTCCTCAACGACCTGCTCTACCTGCCGTGGCCGTTCGACTTCCGCATCCCGCTGCACCTCCTCGGCGGCCAGAAGGAGGTGGATGTTGGCGGCGTGTGGGCGGCGGGGATGGCGTACGGGAGCCGGGAGCTCGTCGAGCGGCACTTGTTCAGCTTGTACTTTATGCTCCCGCTCGTCGGCGTGTGCGCGGGGTTCATTTATCACAACTGGTAAGTGAAGAACATAGGCACTTGGAGGCGAAACTGACCATAGCGGGATTCAAGGTACCCCGCGCGCGTGTTCCCCGGGGATACGCTGTGCTACGTGACGGGCATGGCGTTCGCCGTCGTCGGCATCCAGGCGCACTTCTCCAAGACGCTCCTCCTCTTCTTCCTCCCTCAGATATTCAACTTCGTGCTCTCCTGCCCGCAACTCTTCGGGCTCGTGCCCTGTCCGCGGCACCGCGTCCCGAGGTAATGCCTGCTCTCCTCTCCTCTCCTTGACTCCGCTCACTCGCAGTTTATGCTTCCCCGACCCTGCAATCTAGATTCGACGCGAACACAAACCTCCTGCACCCCTCGAGAGCGCTCTTCGAGCGCCCCCCCTCAAACCTCTCCACGCTCGTCCTCCGCGCGCTCTCCCTCCTCGGCCTGGCGGAGCTCACCGTCCACCCTAGGACGGGCCAGATCCTCGAGACAACGAATCTCACGATACTGAACGTCTTCCTCGTGCGGCTGGGGCCGATGAACGAGAAGCGGCTCGTGCAGGTGCTGATATGCACTCAGGTGAGTGGCAGCGCGCGTTGTTGGGTGTGAAGGGAAGGAGACTCTGACTGACTGACTGACTGGATGTGCAGATTGCTGGGAGCGTTTTTGCGTTCGTGGTGCGGTATGGACTGGCTGGGCTTGTGTATGATGGGGATAGAAGATGACATGGGCAGCTTGACATAATGTGGCTTAACTACTGTTTTAGAGGGCAGCCTGAATCCCAGCGGGGATTCCTTGCTCCTGCCAACCTGGCACTCCACAAGGCTTCGCGGCTACTTCACTGCTGCCTCCACGCCCATCCAGTCTCACAGCACGGTATATATCTCCTTGATACGGTATGATCTCGTGATGGCCCCTCCATTATGGACCCAAGTCCGGGGGTATGCTATGCTTCCGTGAAAATTGGTATCTCCAAAAGAACGTTACGATTACTATGCGAACAGTCACTTTGTGCATGTACTACTGAAATTGTTCACGGGACGCGTCGGTGTTGATGGACCAGCTCGGAGTAGATTCGATGGCCCAGCTCGCAAGGAGTTGGATCTCGAGATATGGCGGGCGTGCTGCGACGCGATGGACCGCAGTACGTCCTCGCTGGTCGTACTCTGTTCCGTAACAGTTTCCACTGTAACAGCGAGGGCGACCGAGGGCTTCCAGACATAACGTGAGCCTGCGGCAAATGACAAATGCTTTGGGCGTACCTTGCTGAACACAAGATCGCTGCTTCGGAGCGCGACTGAATTCGTCGGCACGAACCTATTGTCGTGATGGAACTCGAGGTTGGATAGTTCCACGAATGTGGCCTGGTGTCTGCGCGCCTTCTCGTGGATGTATTCCCGGCCGTTCAGCCTGCGCGGTGGGTTAATCATCGGCCCCGCATGACCATAGCGAAACGCAGCTCACGTTGCCAAGAGGGAGTTCACATAACCTGCAGACGTGTCCCGAACTTGAGTGAACTTGGACTTGTATAGGGAACAGGGATGCACTTACACTTGCCGAGTACCCAGAAGAAACTCTGCCAGACGAAGTTGGTGGGCATGGTGGCAAACTATTGGGACGTTAGTGGACGTTCGTGTCACAGCTCTTTGACCGTGGACGTACTGTTATTGCAGTGGCAGTGGCTAGAATGCTATTCAACGGATTCATACCAAACTTACATCATGGATCTGCATGTGAGCATACCTAGTGAGCAGGCCGGTATTGATGCTGAAGGCCATCAGGGTCAGGATGATAGAGTTTGTCCTACAAAAACATGGACACGATGAAAACGTACGGTGTAAGATAACGAAGAAAGAAACGTACCGTTTGAATCCCGTGCGACGCTTTGCGAGGTAATGGCACATGGATATAGCGATGATTATATCTGCCGCTGCCGCGCAACCGAGGCCAGTCGAAGTCACCCACTGACGGTCGTTTAGCACTCGTCCTTCTAGACGTGGAAGACAGGCATGCAACGTACAGTCAATTTAGGGTACCGGTCAAAGTGTAAGACACGGAAACTACAGGGCGTCCGTCCTAAGGAATAATCATGGTGCACGGAGAAAAACGCTCACGCTTGCACTGTGAAAACTACGACGCCCCAAGTATGTAAATAGAGGTCCGTGAGCTTTGTTGGCCCTCTCACCTATGCCGAGGCCTACGACATCTTCAGTACGATCAGACTATTTAGAGTTAATGAACCTACTGAAATGTGAACAAGCCAAAATCATCTGAGGACAAGGGTCAGCGCCTTCTTCCGCTCATACGAGACACGGGTAAGGCGCTCACGATAATTCCCGTAATAATCCAGTTCTCGCTCACTTGATATCGAAGTGCATCAATTAAAGTGATCAGAGCCACAGGTAAATAGTTGCTTACGTAGATAGACCCTCCGCGCAAAGAAACTTGCTCTCCGATGAGCATCGGAATGTCTCGTAGGAAACGTTGTGCTCACAATTGAACAATGAGCGCAATGAGACCCTGTACGAGGGCCAAGATGAGTTACGTTAGGCAGAAACCCTACGAATATACTGACATTGAAATCGGCCTGGGTCTTTGTCAAGGACGAGTTTATGAGCGGATGCATCGCGTATACATCAAGCAAGCTAGTGATGCCTACATTCATGCTCCTAGTTACATCAGATGAAGAGTTAATCCACCATTCCACAGCCGCTTACCAAGTGCAGTTGTTTAACACATCATATTGGCCGAAGTTCGTAATCAAGTACCTTTGAAGAAAGTAAGGTGTATTTCTCGCCACATAGATCTATCAGTACATACCAATACATAGCAACGGTACACAGAATCAGATGAACTGTGTCCAGGAACCTGGCGACATGGGTTGGCTGGGTATTAGACCAAGGGGATGACCTTACCAGAGCACCAAGACCTATCAATTTCGCAATGGATGAGGATACAATCCTAAACGTGTGCATCGACTTATCCACGAACCGCGGTCTTCGTCACCCACCAATCCTTGGGGTATTTGCTACTTTGCATTAGTCATTAATTGTTTTGCTACAATGCACCGAAAACCTTACCGGAAATACAGGTACCTGCCAAAGGTCAATTTGGAAATTGAAGCACTCATTAGCAAAAGAGTACTTACGTCTGTGTTATGGTCACCCCGTAGAAGCTAAAGAGAAAGACGGTGACGACTATCATTCATATCGCTGCATACCTGATTGCCCCTTACACTGCGCTTGCAACCAGAGCGATGAAAATCGCTCCAAATGTCGCGTACATAGGTGGTGTTGATACCATGGCTATCGGCCAGGCATGAGCTATGGAGGACGAGGCAACATGCTGGAATTCCAGCAACAGGCTGAGAAACTTATATAGGAGAAGAGTGAAGAACCCCGGGTTATACTCGGTGTCGCCACCGCTTCCCCATATTTCTGCCAAAGGAAGCCCCTCTGTTTGCCTCACTCTCGCACCTTTTCAGTGAGAGGGCACCCGATTATTTAGCTTTCCTCAAGGTTGGGTGGGAGCGTGCACCGGGATGAGCAACACCTTTCTCAACCGGAGTGAATAATTTGTCTTTCTGGGACGTCCGAGGTTTTACCGGCGGCCGGCGACGTGCTACCCCGGGGAAGACGCGGAATCAACTGGGTCGACTGCCAGTTACGATCCTGGTTCGTGGATCAAAGGTTCCATATCCTCGGGGAGCGTTTGACGCCGATGAGCGTATATATCCCGCTTGCTCGGTGTTACTGCAGTGTGAGTGGAAACGGCAGAGTATCTGGTCACGTCAGCAACGTAGGAAGTGATTTCGCAATGCTGGGGAGTACCTTTCAAGCTTTTCCGTGGTTTCAAGTCACTATTGATTGAATGAATGCAAGTCAGTCATTCCGTTGGCATCGCCACTACCGTCGTATAGCAGATATACTTCAAGTTCAATGGAGAGGATGATTCCTCGAACGCATCAACAATAAGCCGCGAATTTGCGTGAGCAGAGAGGAAGTCTATCGGTGTGAATCACTGTCCCGTTCTTTCCCTAGGTATTGGTGAGCCTATTCAATCAAAGAAGCATTGTCAGCGAGACTATCTCATACGAGCTTCGGAACAACCTGATCGGCCGGGGCGGGGGGGGGGATACTCTAAAACGCATATCGCGTGGCCATAGACCCGAGTGTACCAGTACAATGTCGTGTTGACTCGCAGGCTGCAGTCAATGGATCACTGGCTCCTTTGGCGTGCTAACGTCAGAAATAGACGAAAAATGGGTCTGTATCTGGCAGGCGCGAGGAACAGAGCATGAGTAGGTTAGCTTTCACAGAAGTCGTGTTGTAACCCACCTAATGACCAGATAATGAAGCCCATGGGCCATGTCGTCGGCAATCCAGAGTTGGAGTCAGAGAAATCATTCTCTCGATTCCGCGAGGCGGAATGTATCAATCTCTGTCCTTTCTTTTCCTCGTGACAGCTGAAAATCAACGAGTGTCGAAGCGTTACAGTGATGCTTTAAATTAACCCTGGAAGGAGGATACACATGCAATAATGCCAGTGGCATATGAAACGACGAAGCTTCTGCTATCGTGCACCCAGTCTGCCTATGCGAGACACTCGTGTCTCCTTTCAGCGTGTGAATGATCCAGTATACCAAAGCCAGCCAGATCCATCCAAGTTGCAGCCACAACTTGCAATGGCGAATCAACGGAGTCGCAAGTTGGCCCGAGTCGCCAAGCGCCCGATGATGTCGGGCCGATACTCCGATCCGATACTTACTTCGCCTGTGGCAGGTGGCTTCCGACAGTCACGGGCTAGACAACAGGAGGATGTACAACTATTATATGCATTCCACGTACATTCATATCCTACCGAGGAATATCTACCAGTTTTAAACGAGCGACTTATGTTTGTGGAAGTGGATGATCAACCGCTGCAAATTAGCAGCACGGGGGTGCCTGCATCCGAGTCTTACATGGGTGAGTCCCGTTCGCTACTAGCGGGCGACCGTGAAGGCCGGTCCTGACCTTCCCTTGTCACCTTTGTCTGCGCTGGAAATGTCACTTATCGCTAACGAGAGGAATCGAGAAAAAGTCTCCTACCGGGCTGGTGCAATAATCCATTTTAGTCTCGGTGATCGTCTCCACTGCGACGGCTAGATCGACGGGCTGGGGAAAGGCTTCAATGATTGGATCGTTCCCATGAACTCAATGCTATGGTGTATGCGTACCTGCAGTCGGAAACCTGCAGATTTCAGCCTGGATTGCGTTGCAGCGGAGGGTTCCTGAGCTTGCAGCTCCAGCACTGTGACATCTTGACGGCTCTTCTCGCGAATATAATCGCGGCTGTTAAGCCTAATAGGACTATGAGCGTGCCGTAGGCTTTTCCGTACTCCGATGAACTTACATGGCCATTACGGAGTTCACATAGCCTGAAGGAGTCTTTAAGTACTGTCCCAACCGTGGACTGAACGTCGCACTTACATTTTCCGAGGACCCAGAAAAAGCTCAGCCATATAAAGCTCGTCGGGGAGATGGCGAACTGTTGCAGGAAGAGCGTGAGTATGACGTAGAACTCAGATCGGAGCGAGTAGACCTACCGCGATGACACATGCAGTAGCAATGATGCTATCCAACGATAAACATAAATTACCCGTGGCGAAACATCTCAACAGAGAATACGTACCTGGTCAGAAGGCCGGTATTGATACTATAGATCATGAGAGTCGTGATCACCGAATTCGTGCTGTTATCCACCGAGTAAGTAAGGGCATGTATGCACACAAGGAGCGAAGGGTACCCACCGCTTGAACTCCGTCCTTCTCTCGGCGAGATAGTAGCACATCGCAGCCGCGATAAGTATGTCCGCTGCAGCGGCAGAGGAGAATCCGAGACACGTCACCCACTGACAGTCTAGCATTAGCAGGTCTCAGGGAACTTAAGTACGGTGCGCACTGTGAGCATGCCGTATTTCGAGAAGTGCTTCAGCTCGAATCTATTTGGGTTCAAGATGAGGTGGGAAGTCGTTGTAGTGCGAAGACAAAGGATACATACGCTCCGACAGTGAAAACTTCGTAGCGCGGGAGTCAGCATGGTAGTGTAAGTCCTGGAAACACGGACATACCGACACCCAAAGCTGGATAAAAACAGAGATAGGTCAATGAGCAAGGCCTTTAGGCAAATACTAGGATAGGACCGTACTGAAATGCAGGGTAGAGAGGATGGCCTGCTCGCGTCTAGGTCTTAGAATAATTTCCGCAAGCGAATACTCCGCCACTCACGATCAAGGCGACCACGATCTTATTCCCGCTCACTAATCCACGATTCGATTAGGACCGTGTCGATTAGTGAGAGTTGACGTGAACATACACTTCCAGACTCGTCGCGCAAAAAATCTTGAATATTGGTTTATCATGAATTATTGCCCCGGCGGGGAGAAGAGCCACAGATAACTCACAGTTGTACAATCAGTCCGACGAGACCCGCCATGTCTGTTTGTACCTTCCAGATACTGTAAGCTCAAAGGTGGCGTCGTGAAGTGTTTGTAATCGACTTACATTCATGCTCCTATATCCAGTGGTTACATCAAAGCGATCTCAGCTGACAAAACACAGGACACGCACCATCTGGAGTCGTCCAGTGTGGATGGGTTGCCGTAGTTCGTCACAAGATACCTGCGTACATTCAGATACCTCATGTTAGCGCAAGAATGGTGATTCAGCTCACCAATAAATTGTGATTGTACATAGGATGATGTGTACGGTGTCCAGCAACCTAACATGGGGTCATCGCATATTATCTCGCGACGAAAGCGGGGAGAAATATACCACAGGACGGCGACCTGCAAGCAGATTAATATCGAGAGCATAGGACATGCCATATGACCTCACCAGAGTCTTCGTCCACCACGGGTCCAGAGAATATCGTCTGGGTTGAAGCGTCAGGTGGAAAGAATTGGGTCGCAAGTAACGGAATGTACCTGAAATATATCCAGCTGGATGGGGATGTAGTATGAGCAGGCCATATTTCAGAAGACCACCGAACGACTCACGTTTGCAGGAGAGTCAAACCATAACAGCTGTATTCGTGTTAGCGTAGAAAGGCTGGTAAAGAGAGTCGGAGGGGACGTCGGGGAACTCACACTGCACTAACCACCAAAGATATAAACAAAATCCCGAAGGTGGTGCCCGCTGGCTGGGATGAAAGTAGTATATGGTCCTGCATGTTAGAGAATATACACCGCAGCGAGACGAACGGGAGCCCAGTCCAGAAACCTAGCGGTGTCGGGCAAGCAGGATATATGTGTCCGCCCCCGCCCATGGATTTCGCAGTGGAACTTCATAGATTGATTCTCGATACGCTTGGTAGTGCCCAGGCGGTTAGTGGCCGGACTTCAGGAACGTGTGTACGCCTGATCCTGTAGCGGGGCATGACATTTAGGAGGCGCGACAAAGACTGTCAAAGCCTTCGTGACTTCCGCGTCGGACATCGGCATGTGCTCCAAGACAACCAGAGTCAAGAGAATGGGGCGGAAGAAAAATCTCGAAAAATACAAGCGTCTGATATCGTTTCGTTCGCGGGTCTACAGTATTCAGCGCTAATTCTTCTATTTCTTACCAGCCATAACAAGCAGTATTCCCTGGGGCTCAGGCTAAGGCAGCCTGTACTTAGCCTTGCTGGTCGATCCACAGACACGTCGGCGGTCTGGAGTAAGTCTGTTCCATGTGCCACAGGGCGGCAAAGGAAGAACTTCTTGAATTAGACTCGAGAAAAGAAGCGCCCCGTCGATCTAAGCCGATCCACAGCGGATCGAGATCCACCAGAACGGTTTGCACATCTGCAAGTTTCATCACCTCCCTCGACGCGTCACATAGGAGTGAACGCGGAATCGTACAAAGAGGGCAATATTCGAGACGTATCAGGATTTATTATGCTACAGCAGGGACAGTGCGACGAGATGAAAAATGCGTACAATAGTATCGGCAGACAAGTACAAAGATCATGCAACATATGCGAAAGTGTCTCGTGTACCTTCCACACGTTCAATATACTCCTTCTCTAGCAATGTGTCTATGGCCTGTAGCAGAATGAGCTGTCAGCTGTCAGGAACGTCTGCGGCGAGCTATAGCGCACCTTCTTAATGTCCGGAATCTTGGGCGTAAACCGCTGCGATATCTGCTGGATGACTTCCTGAATCAGCTGCTGATTCTTCATCGTTTTCCGCGCCTTCATGATACTGATCGCATGCGATAGGAAATCAGAAAAAACAAGCAATGAAGCTATTTCGGGCTACGTACCGGACGATGGTCGCCTGGATCACATACTTCCGGTCTTCATCGACCGTCTTCATAACGTCGGATGTCTCCGCTTTCACCTCCGCCTTGATCGGCAAGTTCAGGTTGATCTTGATCTTCTTGGACTTGAAGTCTACATACACAGCCCCCGTAAATCAGCCAAAGGCCCACCGAACAGACGAGTTCTACGCACTGGGATTCAAGTCGTACTGATCTTCCTCCTCGTTGATGAGGATCTTCGCCTTCGTCAACAGTGCGAGCACCTGCTTCAGAATCCCCTCGTCGATGGCAGTTGCCGTGACGAGCTCCTGCAGCGACAGCGTATCGTTGTTGTTATACTGCACCAGGACGGCCATCTGGTACGAGCTTGTCATCAGCTGGTATTTCTGGTTCAGATAGTTCGTCCGCAGCTCGTTCTTCGAGTAGTTCCACAGCCACGTCAGCTTCCGCCCCGAGTGCTTCGTCTGATAGTACTGCTGGAAACGGTTGTAGACGGGCAGGATCTCTTGAGGAATGTTGAAGCCGTGCGCGGGCGGGTTGAGTGGCCAGAAGTTTGTACCGAGAACCATGATGCTGAAGTTGATGTCCATGTCGTCGTGGTTCTGCTGCATACGTTCTTTGAACTGATCTGTCAGATCCTTGCTAAGGCTCATGTCTGGCGTGCGGTTTTAGCACTATCGAGAATAGGACGGATGCAAGAGCCCCACCTGTGAACATGCGCTGCAGCTTATTTGTGTACTCGAAACCGCAAGCATCCTTCAGCTTAGTAATCATGCTGGCCTCCGCCTCGTCTGATGCGGATACACCATGGATGAGACGCTTGGAAAGCTTGGTAGTGTAGAACGTCTGGAACACATCCTTGTCTTCGATGTACTTGAACAAAACCATCTATGACCGGTATAATCAGAGGAGAATCAGCGAGCAAATGCACAATCAATACGTACGACACGGTTCAAGGCACCTTCCAGATCCTCTTCTTCCGCCATCTTGTTGTTCTTCCGCAACAGCGCATCGGCATGCTTCGCCAGCAGCTCCGGCGACTTTGTCGTCGACGTGCCAGTCGCCGCGTTCCGGTTCACAAACTCCCTGCACGCCTTGTCCAGGCTCGCCACGAAGCCCGCCTCGCCGCGGAAGCTGCGCTGCACCGTCTCCGAATTCTTGCGGTGCACCTGCAGCAGCGCATCGACGTACGCCTTCGGGTCGACGTCCGCGCTCTCCGCGCCCTCGCCGACGAGCTTCGACACCGCCGCGAGCCCCGCCTTCTTCACGTGCTCCTCGAACTTCTTGCGCAGCGGCTCGAGCCCCTCGGGGATGCGCGCGAGCAGCGCGTACATGCGCTGCAGGTCCTCGTCCTTATCGTAGTCCAGCAGCCCCTGGAAGCTCTCCCACATGAGCTCCGAGTGCTCGCGGATGAGGACGTGCTCGCACTTGCTGATCAGCTTCTTGCGCGTGTCTGTATTCAGGTACCGCTCGACGCGGTCTTCCTCCTCGCGTAGCCGCTCCTCCGCCTTCTTCAGGTAGTCTGAAACGCTGTTCTCGGCGAGGAAGGCTTCGGATTCTTGTTTGTAGTACTTTTCCGTCGCCTCGAGGAACGGTACCTCTAGGTGGTCCCGGTACACATCGAGCGAGCCCTTGTTGGTGTCGCTCTCGTCGATACCGAGCGATACGAACGAGTCCACTACCTTCTTGACAAGACCTTGGTCGATAGTTTCCCCGTTTCGTTGTCGCTCGATCAAGCGGAGGATGGCGCCCGCGAGTTTCTGGTCCTTGCTCTGCACATGCAGGAAGAAGTTTTGCTTCCATTGGACAAGTGCGAGCTTCACAGGCATACAATGAGCTTTTCGATGAATTCCCTGCGTACCCGGGCGGAGTACGCACCGTATAGACAGGATAGACACCTCTCCGCCCCTCGTCTCTCTCCCGCTTCACCCAATGCCGGTTCAAGTACGTGAAAAGACGGTTGATGTAGTTCGCACCAGTCGTGTACCGATCCCACTCTGCAGCATAGTACTTCAGCAGCGCCTCGTCCTGCAACGAGTCTGATTTCTGCGTATCACAATCAGCCTGGGAACCGAGGGCCGGTGATACCGCCACAAGCACACACCTCCCTGAGCCCCTTCAGATGCGACACAAAATACCGAATCAAGTTGTTATACAGATCTGCACCCATGAGGTTCGCACCCGCTGCACACCCGCGGTCAGCCACTGCGCACACGATAACCGCACGAATCCATGCACTCACTCCTACCGCCAATGGCGCCCGCCTCGGTTGTCGAGCTGTGCATCCTCGAGGACGTGCAGTAGTTGTACGCAACGGTGTAGAGGCCCATGTATTTCGAGTACGAGACGCCGGTCTGGAGCTTGGTCATGATGTGGTCGACGCCCTCCTCCAGGAAAGCCCAGGTCGTCGCCAGGTCAGCGTTGGCCGGGGGCATCGGGAAGGCGCCCGCTCCTGTAGCGGCAGACATGGCTGGTGACGATGAAAGACAGACAGATGGGACTAATCGTGTATGGGATTGCGCGGCTCGGGGAGGTCGTGAGGCAGGCAGGCAGGCTACGATGCAATGGGAAGAGGGCAAGCGTGACGGGACGCGCTGGTGGCGTGTGGCAGTCACAGCCGACTTCGACTGACTCGGGTACAGCGTGCAGACGACGGTGAGAGTCGCGCGGCATGTATTAGGCTCTTCGTCGCCGGAGCATCGTCTAGTGTCTATCGTATACAATAGAGATACGGGAGTTCTTTCCTACAGCTTGACCCCCGTGTGTATGCACGCAACGCCACCCCACAGGTCCCGCCACGCGCCGCCCTTGCCCTCGAACAGCCCGCCCGTCGAGAAGCCCGCGTCCTGGATCATCCTGGCGAACTCGGGCTGGCTGGGGAACCGCCGGATTGACTCGACGAGGTACTGGTACGACTCGCGGTCGCCCGCGAGGATCGTGCCGAGAAGGGGGATTACGGAGAACGAGTACTGGTCGTACAACCTGCATGGAAAAGAAGAGCGAAGCGGCGACGCGTGTCAGTTATCGCTACGTTATGGCTTGGCCAGCAAGCGTACTCACGAGCCGAGAAGCGGGTTCGTCACCTTGCTGAACTCGAGGCAGGCAAAGGTGCCCCCGGGCTTGAGCACGCGATGCGCCTCCTGCAGGACCATCGGTATCGAGGTGCAGTTCCGGATGCCAAAGGCGATGGTGTAGAGGTCAAACGTGTTGTCCGGGAAGGTCTCCTTTGAGAGCTCCTGTGCGTTCCCCTCATGAAACGATACCTGCGGAGCTTCACCGGGCCAGTCCTAAGCTCCCTAAAGAGTAGTATCTCGGAGGTAGGCACATACTGTTATGGTACATCGTCTTCTTAAACCTCCGGTACCCTTCCTTCAACATCTGCCCATTAATATCCACCACTGCCACGCTCGTCTCCCGATCCGCGTACGTCTCCCTCGCATAATCCAATATCCTCAACGCAATATCACCCGTCCCGCCCGCCACGTCGATGCACTTCATCGGGCCCCGCCGCCCTGGCTTCAGAGACGAGACAAAGTCGTCCTTCCAGAGCCTATGGATGCCGAGCGACATGGCGTCGTTCATGAGGTCGTACTTGGACGCGACAGAGTCGAAGACGTTGCGGACCATCGACTCTTTTGTTTCTTCTGGGACCGTTTTGAAGCCGAAATGGGTTGTTCGGGGGGAGTTTTGCGATGGCCCTGGTCCTTCAGGCTGCGCCTGGTTTTGGGAGTAGCGTCTTTGCGAGAAGATACGTGTAGAATGGCGCTTCAGCGTTGAACGCCCCGAAGCCCGTAAAGCCCCTTGCATCGTAGAAACGTGACGTAGATGGACGCCAGAGAGGCAATGGAACACTGAGCACCGTGACCGCGTCCTCGTCGAAATGCGCGTCGCCGTCGTCCAAGCGTTCGGGCAAAGCGCACGTGGCTTCTCGATCACTTTTACATGTACTTACTGGCTTTCCATTTTGAGACGTCCTTGCTTCAGAATTCTCCTTCAGACTCAGGACGTACCATCATGTCGAACATTACCCTCGCCGACAAGGGCAAAGCAAAAGCTTTACCTGAAGTTGAGCCCGTTGACGAAACGCACAACTCTGGTGTATCCGCCTCTGATTCAGACTCGGACTCGGATTCCTCCAGTGACTCCGAATCCGACTCTGCCGACTCCGACGCTTCCTCTGAGAACGAATTTGACGACACTGCACCGGAATACATAGAATCCTTACTCGAAAAAGCTCGGCAGAACATTGCATCTCAACGAACCGCACCCAATCCTACGTCTGGCGAAGAAGAGGAAGTGATCAAACTAGACTCTCACCCGTCCGAGAGGTACGCCTCTGCCACTCACTCATCCTGCACCGGTACAACGACAGACCACAGCGCGCCGCTTCCTCCGCTAGATCCAGGTAAACTACCAGAACCGTATATCGACTTGAGCAAGGATCCGAGGAAGGGATCCAATGTGGTGGTGCACGACCCGGATGTGGAGCAGGCGGAGAAGGCGACCTCGTCGCGCGCTGTACCTGCCGAACCTATCCGTCCGCCCGAGCTTTCAAAGGATGGGAAGCCGCTGAGCAAAAAGGAGCAGAAGGAGGTGCGTGTCTCACACTTTTTTGAGCCTTATTTTCGAAAGGTTAACGTGATCCTGCATTCAACAGCTCAGGAAGAAGGAGAAAGGCCTGGGATACTTTGACCTTCCAACTCATTCCGACGCAGACTTGCCCAGACTGTACAGAGAGGTAGAAGCCCTGCGTCTCCGGAACCAGCTCGACCCCAAGCGGTTTTACCGCAAAGAAGAAGGTGAGGGCAAGGGCATCAAGGGGCTGCCCAAACAGTTCGCCGTACGTTCTGTCCCTCCGATTACGTTTCATCACTTCACTCACCGTATCGTCGCATGCAGATTGGCACCATCCTCCCAACGAACACGCCCTTCGGCACGCAGACCCAGGATAACCTGCCCAAGTCCGCGCGCAAGCGGACGATCGTGGACGAGCTGGTCGACGACGCGGAGGCGAAGTCGTATGCGAAGAAGAAGTTCAAGGAGCTGCAGACAGTGCGCGGGGCGAGGGGGCGGAATACCCTGCACCAGAAGAAGGCTATGCGGAAAGCCAAGTGGTGATGCGCTAGTCTTGCTGCTTGCATTAGGAGGATATTGTAATTCTCCGGTGTCATCGCGCCAGTGCGGTATATACTAGTACTAATGTCCCTATATCATTGCTCGGTATGCAGTGCTGCATTGCGAACCTCTCGAGTTGCTCTCAAGCGCTTCACTTCGCGACGGTAACAGGGAAGTCGTCTGTGATTGGCTGGCGAGCGATCGAAGGCCACGTGGTCCGACTTTACCAAAACCGTCCACGAAATATTCCCGCCACGATCTGAGATCGACTTCACTCGAGTGTCCTCAGTTCTACCACATCCAGCGCTGTCCATCCACCATGGTCCGCCGGCGTTCGACGAAGACCAACAAAGCAAAGGCGAATAGTAAGCCGCGCGGCGTCAACCGCAGCGAGGGCAAAATCAACAAATGGAATAGGGCAGAGGATATACCGCTCGACGAGGAGGATGAATGTGAGTTCTCCCGCGTTCGTCTGTGCTTTTGACGGCCCTTAACGCGCCTGGGCAAACCAGTCCATGCATCTCGAGATAGGATATTGCTGGAGGGCGAGGAGGGGGGCTCCGACGACTATGGGGAAGAAGAGGAGGTGTTTGCGCTGAAGGGTATGCCGGACTCGGACGAAGATGAAGACGAAGATGAGGATGAAGAAGCGGGAGAGGAGGGCTTTGATGACGACCAGGAGCCTCCAAGTAAGAAAGCCAAAGCCCAGCCGAAGTCCTCCAAAAAGTCCAAGTCAAAGAAGCAGGCCCAGTCCGACTCCGCGTCCTCCGAGTCCGAAGAAGAAGAGGAGTCGTGGGGCACCAAGAAATCCGCGTACTACTCCTCCAACGCAGCGCAGCTCGACGAGGAGGATGACGAGGCGAACGATATGGAGGAGCAGGAGGCGAAGCGTTTGCAGGCGAAGATGCGGGATGCGCTTGCGGACGATGACTTCGGGCTCGCAGATGCTGTGGAGGTCATCCCGAACCAGGACGATATTATGCTCGAGTGCGTGTCATACACCTTTCAAGAGAAGTTGTTTGACAAAGACTGGAATTGTAGCTTGACCGAGGCACCCGCTGCCCCGGTCGCCCCTGCTCTACCTTCAGACAAGAAGGCTATCGTCCATCACCTGGAGAAGACCTCCCCGGAGACGCTTGCTCTCGCGCGAGACTGGGAGGACGTCGTCGAGAACCTGAAGAAAACTCATAAACGAGTCGAGCAGTGCGTCGGACGTCCCTTGCTCTGTCCATCCCTTCTTTAACTACTCTCACCCACTTCCAGACTGGAAGCCGACACGAACGACCAGGTCCTCCTTGGCATGGCGCACCTGCACTATCGTACGTACATCGTCTTTCACCGCGTCTCCCACCCGCTATATGCGTGAGACTGACAATATGTACGCCATCAGAGGCCCTCCTAACATATGCCACCACCCTCGCCTTCTACCTGCACCTCCGCGCCAGCGAAAAGTACGTCGCCAAACCTGAGCTGCTCCGCACCCACCCCATCCTTCCGCGGCTACTCTCGCTCAAGCACTCCCTCTCGACGCTCGAAGACCTCGACTTTAACGCGTCCGGCTCGGGCGAGTCGGACTCCGACGACCTCGACGCGTCCGAGTCGGATCTGGACGACCTCGACCTGGCGCAGGACGCCGGCGCGCTGTGGAAGGCCGAAAAGGAGAAGCGCGGCGAGCTGGCGGAGTTGATGACTGACGCGCAGTACAAGGCGCTCATGGCCGCGTACGACGCGAGGCAGGCTGAGCTCGCGCAGAAACAGCAGGAAGAGCAGGACGCTGCGCGGCCGAAGAAAAAGCGCAAGACGAAGGCGGGCGGGCAGGCGCAGCCGATCTTCGACCTGCAAGAGCCCGACCTCGACTCCTTCGACGCCCCCTCGGCGAAGGGATCGAGGAACCGCGCGGCAAGCGACGCGGACGACGTGTATGGGGAGCAGGCCGTGCTGGGGCACGCGGACGCGGCAGACAAGAAGGCGCGGAAGCGCTCGCTGCAGTTCTACACCACGAAGGTAGAGAGCTCGGCGGCGCGACGGCAGGGCGCTCGTGCGGCCTTGGGTGGCGACGATGATGTGCCGTACCGCGAGCGGAAGAAGCAGAAAGAGCAGCGGCTGGTGGAGGAGGCGAAGAAGCGCGGGAGGCAGGGAGGGGATGATCTGGATGATGCTGAGGCTGAGGCTGAGGCTGGGAAGAGGGGGAGGGATAAGGTAGGGGAAGGGGAGGGTGACGATGGCGAGGTGGAAGGGGACAATGGGTATTATTCACTTGTGAAGCAGAAGAAGAGGGAGAGGAAGGAACAGAAGAAGACAGAGTATGAAGCTATGAAAGCTGCCTCGAGGTCAGTGTTACTCCTGTTAAACCAGTCGGCTTTGAGCGCTGACTCTATGCATATGCACAGACCGGATTACGATGAGGACGCAGCGGAAGGCCCCCGCGCCCTGACAAGAGCCATTCTCAAGAACAAGGGATTAACCCCGCATCGCTCGAAATCCGTGCGCAATCCTCGTGTCAAGAAACGGCAGAAGTACGAGAAGGCGAAGAAGAAGATTGCATCCCAGAAGCCCATCTACAAGACCGGAGCTGGCGACGCTGGCAAATACGAGGGCGAAAAGTCTGGTATATCGAAGGTCGTCAAGAGTGTTCGGTTGTAGTACCTTACTTTGCGAGCACGCATCTACACTCTGTTTCATACGACTTTGGGTATAGCCGGAGCCGCACATGATCTAGCCGCAGTCCGTATGAGAACAAAGTCCAAAAAAGAGGTATCGTCCAACGACGAGAGCCCGGATAACCAATGTCTCTGGAACATTAGATAGACCTTAACGATGCGACTCCACTACAGATGGTTCTACAACATAACAAATAACAAGAGACAGCGAAGTTCCTCGCACGGAGGGAGAGGTGGATGAATGGAACACGGCCATGTCATAGATCTAAAGCATTCCGATCAACTCGCGATACTTCTTCATGAATTAGAAAACGTACATTGCATCGGATTGTTCGCGCCATTATTAGAGAACTGCGCTTGGTCTACATTCATGGCCTGGCCCGCCTCCATCCCGACGAGCCGCGGTACAACGGTGGACATGTGCCCAAAGTCTGACTCGCCAGCTCGAGCAGCAGCGTAATGACGCTTCATCTCCGCAGCATGGTCTGCCGCTTCCGCGTACGCAGCGCTGTACTGCTCCAAGCCAGCTATACAATTCTGAACCTCCGGGCGTCCCAGACGAGCCAAAAGCGTCCCGGCCTGAATGCAGCTGACATGCATAACTGCTGGATCCAACCTCTGTCGGAATTAAATCCTCATAAGTCCGAGACCAAGTACGAGAGGAACAGGACAGCACACATACCAGGTATCCATTGGATGTCAGAACCCCCGCCTGCATGGCATGGGAGGTTAAATCATTGCAAATTGTGGTACCTTGTACCTGACGTTACGTACCAGGCCCGATATTCGCAGAGATCCATGAAGGGCTTCCTCCATGACCTTTGCCTTCACGCGCTCGATTTGGGCGTGGTTCGGAGCGGGATTGCCTAACCGCGCATTATCGTTGACTTCTTTGATCCCGAAGTCGTCCAAGGCGTTGAATAGGATAATCCACATAACATGATAGGTTGCATCGCTACCACCTGCGTGAGTCTGAGTGTAAGCTATGACCCATGGGTAGGGTGCTACTACACCCACATGCTGACACGGCTGACACAAAGTCCCACGTAGCCTGGAAATTGCTAGGGACACCGACTTTGGTGAGATACTGGTCTCGCCACTCGCTGAGCAGCTGGACGAAGTTGCAAAGGACCTCAAAGGGAATACCGTCCGATTCAGTTGCCGGCCGCCACAGCTGCCGTGACATCTGACGGGAGATGCGGGCCAGGGCATGGGAGGCACGGTAATATCCCTGAAGAAAATTGTCATGGAGCGGGTAGACGACATGACATGGATATATCCTTACAAGAAACTAAACGAATGCCCAAGGCACAAAATTTGTTAGTACCGTGCGCAGCTCCAATGATGGATGGAAAGCGGAGACCAGCTCACTTCGTACTGCTCTCGAGGAGACGGGGTCATAGTATCAGAGGGTCCAGCAGGTACAGGCTCCGCTGTGTAGAAATCAATATCGTAGTCGTCATCGTCACTGCGGTGCAGAAGTCAGCGAGACGACACACGATGAAAGGTGAAAACGCCAACAGCATAGGTTTCCTACGGTAATAAGCGGATCCGAAGGCGTCTGATAGCAATGCCATCCACCAAGCAAATATCATAGTGCCACGCGCTTCCGGGTCCTCTATATTGGACATCACGGATTTGTGATTGATCTATACGGATGTCAGGACGACATGGCGTGTTGTCTCAATGAAGACTGACTTGAAGATCCAATAGCAGCCTTATAGCAGATATGAGCCAGAACCGGTGGAAACCTATCGAAGAACTGGGTGAGAAAACCGGAATGTGGCATATAGGCTCCTGAGCATACCGTTGGGATCATCCGGACTCTCTACGTCGATGAAGAAATATCAATATCGGTCTGCGATAGCAACCCCTCTTGCACTCACGCGCTTGCAATGGCTCAATCAACAAGGATATGACCACATTGTCTGCGCTAGCCATCCTATATACCTTCATCGACTCCGCCAGCTCCCTAGCTCTGTTGATCAGAGCTTGCGCCAGATGGCTCTGGCCATTGGCATTCCGCCGCCGATCAGCCACGAGCAAGGGGTGTTCAGAGAATTTCGCGCCCCAGGCGATGACAGTGGCGACGAGCGCGGGGTGGAGAGGTTTATCCTGATAAATAGGCGAAGAATGCTGCACTGTGAGCGACTGTTTGAATCGAGTGCGGAATTGAGTGGGATTGAGCAAGGGGATCCGGGTGTGGACTATCTGGAAGAATACTTCCACCAAGTCGAGGGCGAACCTAGATCGAAAGTCGCGAAAATAGGGGTTAGTGAATATAACAAGCCTTGGTCAGCAACAAATGAAGGGCAGTAATCTGCGCGGTAGGCGAAGGGCTCAGAGCCAACCAAGCCGGCGGCAGAGAGCTTAAAAGTCAGGGAATGGAACGTGATACGCACTCGAGTCGGAACGATTCATCCTCTAGATTGGGCGCCAGCTCTCCCCAGTCGACGTAGGAAGGGACCCTATTCCTGAACTGGCTGCTGGGGTCACTAAGGCAGAGATCGACCCGCATGGTACGGGATAAATGCATAAGCTTCAATGGTTCTGAGAATGATATATTAAAAATACGCACGTGGCATTTTCGAGCGGTGGCGAAAATAAGTAGGCGAGCAGCTGACGTGTCGGCGTGTGTGTGTTCACGACGGCATTGAAGGCTTGGAAGGGGGAGGGCGTCGGTAGGTTGGACGGTGAGCCACTGTGTTCAATGGATCAGTGTGTCTATGAGGGAGCACAGCCTGGCTATGACGTACGGTTTGGTGCTCCCCGGTGCCGGAGGAGAGCTACACAATCAGGATTTGTCAGCGACTGGGGCTGAACAACGAGCATATGGAATTTAAAACAAAGGCGATAGACGGATGGTTAACGGTTCCAGCGCCTACAGACCCTGCGCTGCTGATGGAACAGGGGCGATGTAACGAACCTCGAGTGTGATGTACTGATGGCCCTTGGACGCCGCTGCCCGCCAGTCGAGCGCTTCTTCTCGCTGGTGGCTTGTTGGGAATAATGTCTGAGTAAAACATCATCGAGATATGACTGGGAGAAGCCGCTGGAATGTATCACGGAGTACGTACGTGCACGGGTAATTTTTCGATATACAGTGCTGCCACAATGTTGAACTCAGTCATCCATTACTCTGACCATTCACCACATTACCTGGCACTATATAGATCCGCGTTCGTAACCAGCTATGAATGAGAATGAAATAGTTCGAGACGAACCTTGTCTTGTCCTGGCAAGCGATTGCACTTTACTTTCCTAGCCCTTGATTATTTCCGCGTATCGTATCATCAAATTCGATAGCGTCATGCGGGACAGCACACCTGCAAGCATCGCAAGCTGTATTTTGCTTTCTGGGAGGCGGAAGCGTCTTTGCGAGCTCATGTATCTGGTTCTGCATAGTCTGGCTTGGTAGAGAGATGCCTAAGTTTCAATTTTGTGAGTCACCGAGCTCTGCCGCCCCGCATTCAGATAGGATTATCATGCGGAGTCTCCCACCACCGGCACTCATCTCACCTGGCTGGTTTATTGAGCTCGAGCTTGAATTTTCCAGCGTGTGCGGCTCGTTCTGCATGGTGTGGCAATATTGCAAGAAATTCTTTACAATTATGCGTCGAGACGCTATAGGAGCCCTGGTGGTGGGTGCACTGATAGCCTTTTTAAGCTGGACTGGAGGTGTGCTAATAGAGGTCGCATAACATGTCCCGGTACCGAGCACAGTGCTATGAATAGATACGGCCTCAATAGCTCGCATGTCAAATAAAGGCAAATATAGCCGCGCCACCTTCCCGCCAAACGGAACCAAAGTTTTGCTCTCCATCGTCCACGACGAGCAGCACATCCCGCCCGCAGTCATGGTCAAAGTCGAGATCGTCGAGGACAAGGACCAGCGCTCCGCTGGCTCGTCGCCTTACTCTTCCCCTTCCTCATCTCGCACTTCGTCGTCGGCGTCGCTCTCTTCTGTGTCATCTGAATTAGACGCAGAAGAAACCTTTTTCGAGCGTGTCAGTGCGCTGGTCGACATCATCCCTCCAACTACCCGACACGCCATTTCCACCAAGGTATCCAACACCGCGTCTTTCCTCAAGCGCGGCGGGAAGCTCGCGGGGAACTTGGTGTGGATCATCACCACGTCTGCGCTGTTAGTTGGCCTGCCGCTTGCGATGAGTCTGGAGGATGAGGCGAAGATTGTGGCCGAGGAAAAAGAAATGCTTGCCCGCCAGCAGGGCGCGCAGCAGGTGCGTAATGCCTGTCTTGCCCTATTCAGTTCCTGTATGGCTCATGTCTCGCCGTGACGCTCATCCCTTCTTTCCGCCAGATGATTTCGGGAGTACCTGGCGTCCCTGGATCAAGTCCAGATATGAGCCAGCCAAAATCTCTCGTGCCGCCCGGGTTTTAACGATCATCCGATATGATTGGACGTTGTATATGATATGTTTTCCATGCTCTGCGTGCACGTAATGCGTAATCCCACCTTTCATCTCCCACATCGGTTCCGAGAAGCGTCTGCCCACGGCGGAACCCAGGCACGTTGCTGCTGGCAGTGCAGTGCATATTTGTAGTCCTCTCTTTGTGATTCATCGCTGCGGCACCATTGGACCACAAGGACGACCACCGTGACTCATCTTCGGCCCGTGTATCTTTTTGGGAGGTGGTACCAGGTATACGTTAATAGTTGCGGTCTGTACTCGTTCATTGGATGCGTTGTTTCAGTCTTATGATGCCACACCGGTGAGTCGTTATTTTGGGGTGAACGGAATCAGATGGGAGCACGAGGTCGCTCTTTGGAACCTTCAACACATCGTCTACCGCTCAACGACCGCATTCCCATGTTATCGGCAAAAATCTAAAAGTGGGCCGCAAATACGCAGTGCCTTGGGTGGTCCGAAATGAATACCTTCTCCACCGCGAAGCGAGTAGTAAGGCTATCCCGGCACTCAATCGCGTCGACCCGTTCAACGGAGCTGGAGCGGCTCGATCTGAAATGAAAGTCACGACGGAATGCGCAGCGCATAGACCCCTTCTCGAGCATCCATATGCAGGAAGACTGGATTAGAACTGTATACTTGATCTACAGAGTAGACAGACCACCAGGCCTATTGCGCCACCCGATACTGTCAGGAATGGTTCAGCCTGATGTAACACGGCCTAACGGACAAGGAGTCTGACGTACCTCCGAAGAGTCCCGGTTTGGCAGAACAAGGGGTCGGACGAAATTGTCACTGCATGCGATTCCGTTAATAAATGCCGTCCCCTCATAGACCGGCGCTACATACGCAGATCGGTACCGTCTGAGGTAGGTCAGAGCGTGGTTCTCGATCTCATCTGGTACCACCCCGAGCTCTTCCCAGTCACCAGGCACGTCCTTGTCGTTGATGTATCTCCGCTCAACCTCATCGGGAGAAATCGTAGGCCAGTACAGCTTCTGTCCGGCCTGGGCGAGCATCTTCGCCAGCCGCTTGGGCATGACGAAGCCCTTGTCGAGGTCGTTGTAGGTGACCGAAGACACCAGGTCGATAAGATAGCTATACGTCAAGGTAGAGGGACCGGGGAGGTTCAGCGTCTTGGGCAGTGCAGGCACGCCTTCAAGGTTGGCCAAGGCTTGAGCGACATCCATGACCTGAATATAACAATGAGCATCCCCGATAACAGATATGGATATGAGAGTGAACTTACATGTACTGGCCTTATCTTCGTTTCACCGTGGTTCAGCTTCCACCAAATACTCCAAACTACGCCCCATGTCAAACCTTGCAGCTTAGTTGTGCATACCATCGCACTCACTGGCAATGTTGTTCAATAGCTTGTCCTCATACCCGAACATAGTAGAGGGTCTGATGATGGTAGCATCCGGGAATGCTTCCTTGACCAGATCCTCTCCCTCCGCCTTCGTGCGGTAGAACTTGGAGATGGATTGGTGGTCCGCATTGAGATGAGATACGTGCACAAAGCGGGGGACGCCCCATTGCGCTGCGACCTTGGCGATCCGGCCAGCACCTGCTGCATTGACGTCATTATATGTGAAGTTCCTAGTACCAACGACCAGGTCAGTACTGGGGCAGTAGAGCCTGCAAGGCGTAGGCGTACTTAGTTTCGTACTCCCTTCCAACAAGGTTGTAGACGATATCAGAGTGTCTCAGACACTCGGCAATCTGGTCCTCGTCCCGGATGTCCCATTCCTAACCTCATGTCAGGGGGACACGAGTTCCGGAACACGCCTAAATACGCACCATGTGTACGACCTGACCCAAGTCACCCATCAACTTGAGATGTCTAGCCTCGTCCGGATCGCGGTAAGGGGTGATAACCTGGGTACCATTCTTCGCTGGAGACGGGCGCAGGCGTAGTCAGTCTTCCACCATACTCAATTTCAGACCAGTTGTGCCTCACCTAGTTTTGCAACCAAATACCTCCCGAGAAATCCAGTGCAACCAAAGACGGTGGCAACATGTCCGCTGACAGCGCTGCGTCCTGGAGGACCGTACGAAATCACTGGTTTCTTCGACCTCGGCGGGACCACCAGGTCCTTGAGGCCTCGCTGTCCTACTGTTAGCTTCCCTTCAGAAAATAGAACGCATAACAAACCCGCGAACTCTGCGTCAGCAGACGCTGCACGCGCAGACTATGGGAACGGGAGGAGAGCATCTATATCTGCAGCTTTCCGTCGAAGCGCACCAACTTGACCAGGGGTGTCGCTCCGGCAACTCCCGTCACGCTGCACCAATGAGGCAAGACCTTTGGTTCAGCTGCATTCGTCGCCTGCCCGCTTGGCTTGCCTCATTCGCAAACTTGAACCTTGCAATTGAACGCCCTGCAGAAAACCCACAGAAATGGTTCAAGGGAAAACCAAGGGCTTAGCGCAGAAGGCGTCTGGATCTGCTGCCAGACATTCCGCCAAGGCTGCAGCGAATACAAAGAAGGGCAGGAGACACGCCCCACCGAAGAAAATCCAAGCGGTGCAACAGGCAGCTATGCACAAAGTGTGTTTCCTATATGTATCGTATCACAGAAGACTGACCGCTCTTTTGCGTAGAAACTCAGTGCTAAGATCAATAACTCCATCGAGCAGCAAATGGTTGCTGCAGCTTCTTCCGGGAAGCTAACGATCATGAAGAACGCAAGTCTGGAAACGTGAGTATGACATTCCAACTTATATATGCTTCGTCTTACGGCTCGACACCCGTCCTAGTTCCGAGAGTTCTACGAAGGCAGCAATCAAAAAGAAGGCGAAGTAGTAGCAGAGCTCATGATCCTGTCCGTACAAGGTATCACCATCCAGGAATGTTTACTGTCATCGTACCTAATAATGATTATAGACATATGACATATGCCATCGCGGATGAAGAGTGCGCGTACAATTGAGCGTTATACCCCGTGTCGACCCAACGTCCGGACATGGAATAGACAACTTCAGCAACAGATACATCCTGGAAGGCTCCGGGTGCAACCGCACTCCCGTAAAGGCTGACATGTACGTGCTTGTCGATTCCTGCAATCCCGGGGAGGATTGAGGCCGGGTGGGTAATGAGGGGCTTGCCGTATACCTCGTGCCAGTACTCACTCGTAAGAGTGGATCGCGCCGCGGGGCTAGGCTCTCTTCAAATCTCTTGTTCGGGTTGCTTCATATGCGGGTGTACTACGTTCTCTCATGTATACGAGTTCTATTAGTCTTGCTGCAATGCACCATGTCTCGGGTCTGACCGCCAAGATCGCAGGAAACTGGAACACAGAGACACTGCATTGCCAAAACAATGACAGGCGGCTATCGAATTCAGTCCGCACTATAGAAACTGACGTACTACCGAAACACTGATGATTGCTCGAAACACGGAAATTGCATGCAGGGTATTGCAGTGTTACAAATGCGATGTGAGGGCGACTGAGGCTAATGAATGATGCAATGCCATGGATTGAACTTGGGATGGATGATGATGAAGTGGTTGAATGATAATGGAACACATGGGGGTTGACGAACGGATGCAGGCATAATTATGAAGTCGAGAGAAGAAAGGGGAGGCATAACTGAAACCCTGATCCCGATGATGAGAGAACTGCCGACTAACTCGAGGCGATTGCTTTTCATAACATGAAAGATGGATATAGCGGATTATCGATCACCGTAGTGACCAGCGCCGGGCCTGGGCTGCAGAACTTGTGCGAGGAAGTCCAAAGCTTGCCGGTGCTCCGGGGGGATGTGCACTCCCTGAGCATCGACCCATCTAAGCACAGTATTCATGGCGCTACGAGCCTCCACCACGTTCGGCACAGGCGGTGACATCTGAGGTTGCGGCAGGTCCGCTGCAGGATTTTGAAATAGGGCAGGATAAGGGGCAGGAGCGTGAGGGACCATGTCTTGCTGAGTGGGTGGCTCAGGGACTACATGATGACCCTGATGGGGTGCCATAGGACCAGGAGGACAATAATGACCGGCGGTTTCTGGAGCGGGTTGAGGGTGCTCAACCGCCTGCGGCATGGACCCTTGTACGCTTGCCGGTGGCGACGGCAACCCAAAAGACTGCGGCTGGGGTTGCCAAGCCGCTTGCAAGCCGGTCGTGCCAGACGCCTGCGACAATGAATGACCATCCGCTGGATGTTGGCTAACCGGCTCTGGAGAGTCTTCGGATTCGATAGTATACAGGGCACTTTCGTTGGATGAAGTTAAAGAATTATTAGCCGCTTCCTTGGCTGGAGATTGGATGTTGGCGTCCGCGGGCTTGGGCTTGGGCTCGGGTTCTGACTTCCCAGAAGATATACCTATGGCCCGTCCGATGGCCGCCTCTCTCCCATTACCGTGCCAGATCCCCTTGCGAATGCCATGGCGATGCTTGAAATTCTCGACCCATCCTGAGCTCGCCTTGAACTTATCGTCAGGGATCTCCATTTCACGAGCTACCTCTCGCGCCTTAGATCGTATGAGGGCATCGGTAAGCTGGACGTTCTGCTCCTTGACATCGAACAACCAGTTGCGCAGTTCAATTTCTATCTCCGGGAATTTTGTTGGTCTGGTGCAGGCATTGGTCAACCAATACAACAAAGGGAGACAGAAGTTGGTACCTAAGCTTAGCTATTTTGAGAGTCTCGTCCGGGTCGATCTTCATCCAACGGGTCTTGTTCTTGAGGATCTTACTGATAGTGCTCCGTTCCACGCCATACTGCGCAGCGATGTCCTCCTGCCTGAGATGGGGGTTTTCGGTCGCGTAGACACATATCGCCCGACGGTCCACGTTAAACAGTCGCTGCTTGCGATGTTTCCGTGATACGATGGGCGACATCATCCCTCCGTCGGGGGGCTGCGGAAACGTAGCGCCAAAGGCGTGCGAATTCGGTGCGGAGCCCGCAGACGAGTGCGAAGTGTTGACAGACGCAATACTAAGAGCCGGTGAGGCTGAGCGCGGATTCGAAGTGGACGTCGAGTCCGATCGATTGTGAGTCTGTTGACTATAATAAAAGTTAGGAACGTGCGATGATATGGGGGTCGTTGGCCATGAGTTCTGCAGCGGCTCAGGCCCCGGTACCCTTTGATGCATGGATGAAGAGTGCCGATACACTCGAGAGAAAGTGTTGGGAGTATGCGGGCGAGAATCGACGTAGTCCCCAGCCTGGACGGCTCGCTGAGGAGACGCAGTAAAATGAGATAGCTGAACAATGTCTCGAGTGGCTACATACGATGTTCGAATTATCGCCACTCGACCCGGGAGAGCCGCCCCAACGGACGTCCTGACGTCCCCCCCTATGACCTCTTTGCGTTTGAGACCGTATGGGGCCTATACTACCTTCGACCTGCGGCGAATCCAGCGGGGGCCCGTGCCTCTCCTGCTCGTAGTTCGCGGTGGGACTATGCTGGGGATGGGACGGGTGATAGCTGCTGGTCTGCAGATACGCCGGGTAGTGGGGATCTTCAGGGCGACCTGCGAGCGGGAACATTGCAGAGGATTGTGAAGACGAGGAGGCAGAGCTATTCGTAGGGGACTGCTGGCTCATTTGCCAGTGCGAGTCGCCTATTGACGCGTCGGTGCGGGATGGGTCAGAGGAGGGCAGGAGCACGAGGCCTGGGACTTTCATTCGCATAATGTGTGTCCATCGAGGCTCGGTATTTTGCATTTCCCTGTGACCACGACTCGACGCCTCGCGAATAAAGGACCTCCTAAACCAAAAACCTTGCAAGCAAGTCCAGAAAATGGCCGAGACGCCTCCAAGTCGGCCCCGTAAAGGACAGCTCGTGGATCCGCGAGCCCGAAAAGACTTTCAGCCACCATCAGACGCGTCGCACGTAAGCATCGATATTGCGGTCTTTGTTCACTGATTTCATCGCCCTTGTATTCTGATTTCCTCTGATTTCTTTGTGCTCGACGTGTCTAATCGCCGACTGATATAAGAACTCCTTTATTCGCGACAAGAGCGCCATCTGCCATGGCGATGTGTGCCATGTTACCGCGCAGCGGCTGCTCTAAGTTCGACGCGTCTCCGCGTGATCACGACCGGACGTAACTTGCACTCTTGCGCCGGATATACACCCTTCCAAGGTCTCTGTACTGCCGATGGGAGAGGATGGCGCGAAAATCTTGGTGTCTTATGCGCGGTGGGCGCGTCCTTACTGAGAAATTGCCGCTATCTCCTCCCAGGAGCTTATGTTCTTTGTTGACAGATGCCTGTCACTCCTGACCATCTCGGAGGTCTATGCCGGCCAAGTTTGATGCCAGATCTACCACGGGGTCCCAAGAATACCCCCGCTGTCTCCTATACTCTCTTCTCTGGGACACATCGCGTGTATATGGAGCCTATGCCTGATTACAACAGAAATCTTGTGCCAATATCGGAATGGTGGTATCTCTTCGCTCGCGATACTATCTTCACCCGGGATGGTCTCCGTTCATTGAAAGGCATCGGAACCAGGAAAAGCACCGCAGTTGTCACGTTTTGTTGATGTTTTGTAAAGGAAGCTACGAGGATTTGTACAACCATCGTTGTAATAGGACTCGAACCCCTCAGCGTTATCCTCTCCACAGATCCAAAGTCTTGGGTATACTTCGGATCTGGTCCGAAATGAAGTTCAGTTGTACGTTTCTTGCCTTTCTTCCGACCGCACCTGATGTAATAAATGCTCCGTTTACATTCGGGCCTAGGTAAATTGCGTCACCAAAGTCGAATACCTGATTGCAAGAACTCCTCCTACAATGGCGAGTATAGAGTACTCGGATATCATCCTATATGCCTTTGAGAACGCTCGATGACAAGGATGGAGCGTCAACAGAGCACTTTGATAGTAGCTCACCGCTGTGTCAAGGGGATCTGAAGGCCAATCAAGGGTATTCTTTCCGCTGAACTATTACGTTGAAGATACTTGTCAAATAACAAATGCCTTCCGCCCGATACTTTGGCGGCCACGTCCCGTGCTCGCTAGGGATGGCGACACTACACTTACGCCGAGCGAACCCGCGTCTATTCCCGCCTACACTCCGCAACGATCGATGGAAGACCACAGGCAGCTGGTTCTCGCATGTCGTGCCCCTCTGTTTGTCTAATAGTCTTGCTTCTCTCGGCTTCTGTCTCAGTGACGCACTGGGCCAATAAGAGACTACGCGCGATCGATGGGTGGATAAGCGCTACCAAGCTGACTTCCATTGCCCATCAGCGGTGCTGCAAAGGACTGGAGAACACGCTGCGCCGGGCGATCAGACTGCCTGCTGCTTGCCATGCGGCGAAGTGATGGAGGGATTTCGTGTGGATCTGTCCGATCACAGCGATTCTCTGGGTAAGCCATGGGCTTGCACTCTCGTCGATGTCCACCATGACCGTATCGTCTTTGTGCTGCCGTCGCTAGGGCTGCGCACTGTTTGACGACGTCGTTCAGCGTTGAGAATGCGTCGCTTGTGTCAGCGCTCGGAACCTCCTTCAAGGTTGCGCGCTCATGTTCGACCACTAGCCTCGGCGGTGGCGGTCGATTATGTCCCTCTGCTTGCCGTCGAGGTTAGACGGAGGGATTACCGTTTATTGGCTGCTTCCGCTGCTGGTCCGGGTCTCAGTCTTTGTCAGGATCATATCAATCTCAGAACTTTGCAAATTTGGGAGCTATCGCGTTCCTATCATTGCCCAAAGCATGCCCCGCGGCGAGGATGTGCACGTCATGAGCTTAGCTTGCATGATGGTCCTTATGAACGCACCGCCGGCGCTCTCTCGAGGTCTGCTACGTCATAGAAGAGTGGTTAGGTGATTATCATAGAAGACGGCCGGTGGGTTGCTCTGTGGGTCAAGAGAAGGCGGGAAGACAGTTGCCTTGGTCCGTGCAGTTGGTATTCCAGGGGGTGTTCTAGGGGAGTAATGCGGCCTTGGACCATTCAACAGGGTCTCCACGATGGCCATTCTCAGATGAACCGGCCGGATTTGAGCGGCCGTCTCCGCGGTCATAGAGCTCGGGGGCTACCTTTGGTATTTATGACCCCTTTGGGTTCCGCCGCGAATTCGACGCAGCGATACTAGAAGTGGGGGAAGGGGGCGAACTGGACGGTTATTAACGCAACGAGACGAATTACCGAGCAACTCAGTCTGCATCACACGGTAGCGTAGTGATTGTAAATGATAGGAGTGGTTATGAAACTTGCAATATCAGGGATAGCTTATCTTAGGGACGTCTCTCTAACTCACGGGGACTTCACGCCTACTCAATGTATTGCTCGCCACCGTGCTTGTTACTGGACATTTCCTCTACTGCCACCCTGTTTCGCCGGGGACGGGGCTTCGGAATCACAATATGGACAACATCGTGATTAGCAGACCCTTTAAACATGAGCTTGTATTTAAATCGAGAGCTCAGTAATGTGCTCCCCGCCCTTTGTGTTGTGGACTTTTCTAAGTCTGCAAAATTGTTGAACGTACTCACCTTCCCAAAATGGTATGTATTCAAGTTGGCCCAAGCGCTTCGCCGAAGACCTACGGTGTGACATTCCCACGACGCGTGGCCCCGCTTTGCTGAAACCATCGGCTGTGGTCTGGACCTCCAGATCTGTGACTACACTGTACGCTCTCTCTACCATTAGCTATAGCTGTAGGATCTCATTCACCAGCGGCAAGCGTCTCTACCATGGCTCGAATACGTGAAGTATGGGCCCCGAATCTGGAGCAGGAAATGCGAAATATCAGGAATCTGATTGACAAGTATCCGTATGTTGCAATGGTACGCGGTTCAGTCACTCTGGCGAAGCAGTTCCACTCGAACTTCGTTGTCGTCACTATCTCAGGATACAGAGTTTCCTGGTGTTGTGGCACGTCCTATAGGAACGTTTAAGACGTCTTCGGACTACCACTACCAGACTATGCGATGTAACGTCGACCTTCTCAAGATCATTCAAGTCGGGATCACTCTTGCGGACGAGAAAGGCCAATACCCGCCCGACGTTTCAACGTGGCAGTTCAACTTCAGGTTCAGCATTGAGTGAGTTTGCTATGCTTCATCGAAATGTGACACTGACATCCCCAGCACGGACATGTTTTCTCCAGAGTCTGTGGATCTGTTAGAGAAGTCAGGGATCGACTTTGACAGGCACGAGGAGATGGGAATCGAACCTAACGACTTCGCCGAGCTCATGATTTCCTCGGGACTTGTGTTGACGGACGAGACGAAATGGATATCCTTTCACAGGTAAGTCGCGTGCTCCTATAACCTCGAGTCCACACATTCTCCCATGCCACTGTCATGCCATCCTTGGAGATACCTCGGTCTCATTACATTGTTTAACAAATTCTATAGCGGATACGACTTCGGATACTTCGTCAAGCTGTTGACTGCCATGTCATTACCTACGACCGAGGACCAGTTCTTTGAAGTCTTGCGGACTTGGTTCCCCACAATATATGATGTGAAATTCATGATGCGTGCCTGTAAGATACTGAAGGGGGGTCTGCAAGATGTCGCCGATGACCTTGGTGTGCGTAATTTCACTCTTCCATGCGATAACGGCCGTAATGATAGGGTATTTGTCCTCCTTTTTCCGCAGGTTGCTCGTCAAGGACAATCACATCAAGCAGGGTCCGATTCCCTTCTGACCGCATCCACCTTTTTTAAGATGCGCGAGATATACTTCAACGACCGTCTAGACGACGCAGAGTACAACGGCAAGCTCTATGGTCTCGGTCAAACATTCTCCGTTCCAAACGGTTTGCCTGACCCTGGGAGGGGCGGTGCCACCATCGCAGAACGTGAAGATCGCGGGATGTCAAGAGAAGCGCAAAGCCAGACGCCTGCTCCCGGGCAGTCTGCGCAGAACGGGTTGGGCGTGGGCCCGCCTCTGCCAACGCCGGCGATTGGTGGATCAATGCCCGCTCCACTTCCTCCGTCCGCAAGCTTTGGGCCTATGAGCGCGACGGCTCCATACATCCGGACGGCGATTGGGGTCGGGGGTGCAGGGAGATGACAGGTGGATCTGGGGAGTCGTAAGGAATTTATTGATCGCGTCTGAGACACTGTGCAAACGTATGTGTATTCTATAATGATTGTATCTGCTATACTATTGTTGTCGAGTTCATTTAGCTTCGGGGGTCGCTTGGCATGGCCCTTGCTTTCATGAGCAAGGACCATGTCGACTCATAATGCCAGCGTTGTCGCAGACTTCATACCCTGACCTGAGCCTGAGCGTTTCCTCTACCCCTTGGGCTCGTAGGTGTTTCATTCAAATTGCGAGATGCTCAAATGTATCAATGTGGTACCTTGACAATGTTTCAGTGATTCATACCACTTTCTTGTGGCTGCGAGCACAACCACCTGGGTCTCAACCTTTAGTATGCCATCCGTTGCGTCATTGGAAGTCATGTATACTTGGTTTTGTTACAAGATTGTCTATCGATTCGATAGGGAGCGGTGGTCAGTGGGATGCCTCTATATCACCGCATTTTGGGCTTTAAGCATTCTGGCATCGCCAACTCGTCACGGTCGTTAAATGCAACTTGGATTTCCTTCTCTTATCGTATGCACTGCCGATCTATATTCATTGTTGGCCACCAGTATTCTTAGGGTGCCTTCTTCGCTACAGTACGCGAGTTCTTTTGGTAACACCTGCCGACCAGGACGCCATGCAAGACGGTAAATATGGTCGCTATGGGTAAGACTGTACACCTGCGATTATGTAAAGAGAAACACCAAGTAATAAAGTGGAAGTCTGTAATTGTGCCTCCTCCGCCATATTTAGCATTTGTACACCGTTGAGCCTAAGCCTAGCAGAGTTGAATGGAAGAACATAAAGTGGATATACCGGACCTATCTGGCCATGGAGGACATAGGAATTGAGGTCTCCTTACCTAGTAGCGCCAACTTTAAGTCAGACCTAACTGACGGCACCCTCTCTAGCATACTAGATATCGATACTGTGGCCTATGAACCTACGAAATTGGCGAGCTTTCTCGGAACCACGGGGAATCATTGAAGCGGGCATTTGATCGCCGGAAACTCGCCTATGATCACGATCGGTCACTTCCACGTGAGTGGCACCGTAACGCGTCATCCTTTCCGACCTGCCACAGTCCTTCGTGAGTATTTATGCAATGCTTGAGCGTGAAGGAACAAACCGAGATACTATAGAGTAGGTAATAATGAACAGGGGAATAAGCAACGCTCGGGTCAACTTCCTTCTATGATTGCTATCATGGCTCTTACCTTCTAGGGTCATCGTGTCAAACTCGAAAACATGATGTTTATTTCTTACCTTGTAAATGCTCGACTTTCATTCAGAGCGCAACCCTATTGACCCCTCAACAGATTCACCTGTTAGCGAGGATGGTACCAGGAAGTACCAGGTATGATGGCCTTGGGCCGTTGCCCGCCGAGCCATATGTATTGACCAGATTTCTCACACCCACAGCTGACATAGACGCGCTACATATATCGCCGGCGGCTACCGTGACATGACTGAGTCAGTCCGGACCGTGCTCCATTCGCGACTTCTTCCCCAGCAAGCGTTTAAAGCCGGACAAGGGACTTCTGCTATCTATCAAGTTTAAATGTGCTAAGTATGTCATACTGCTTCCCAATATCTGGCCTTCTCGTTTAATGATTCCGACAAACCCTGCTGTTGTTCTACGAATCTGAGCTGCGGTGACTAAAGAGCCTACAAACCGAGCGAGAGTGGCTCTGCGACTCGTCCTAAGGGATCGTCGTCGCAGTCATCCATCGCAAGAGTACCGTCGCTTGTCTGTGAGGAAGGGCACAGATTGGCTCGAATGTACTCTACGAGGACTGAATGCCCGACGATGCCTTGGCGAGAACCACAGCCGCCGAAATTTCCCGTGCATTCCCCGGCGCAGGGCCGGCGGTATGCAGCAAGGACTAAGATCAGGAGAAGAGATACTGAGGATGAAGTGCACTTATACTTAACTACGGACGAGGTGGGTGACTTTATACTACTGTCTGGATGCCATCGGCGCGCTTGAAGGTCCGACGTCGCCTGTTTGGAAGACCCTCTCCCGGCATCTTTAGGATTCCGCAGGGTCGCCATGAATCTCAGTCACAGGTGTTTGTCTCATTATCGTGCTTCTCTCGACTGGTCCTAATCCTTGACCCCTCATCTGCGTCCCTACGCAGCACAAGGCACACATGGCCGAGGTCTCCGCAAGTTCTACAATTAAGCTTTGGTCACACTGTGTCGGGCCCAAGCTGCAGTTCCAAGCGTGAATGGCCGTGCGTTTGGGTAACCGTAATTGCAAGCGACCAATCATCGGTGATTTACGCGTGGCCGTAAGGAGCATCCGCGCAGTCTCGCTCAACTTACTTACAAGCACCCTATTTATCCGACGACATTCTCCGGCGCCACGCCCGGCATCTATTTCCTCTGCGGATCGACCTTGTCGCGATCGGATTTGGTCGATCATGCGGGTGTGCAGAAACGCAACAAACCCAGACCCTTATCAAGACATGCGATGGACGCTCGATTATCCGACTCTACAAGTCTGTCCGTACGATTCCAGGAAGGTGATATCTCATGGATGCTTACCGCCGGCTCCCCGCACAGCTGCAGGTATACTCTGGAGGATTCGCATGCCAAGAGAATTCAATTCAAAAGTATCTAGAGCACGCCTTCGATGGTGTGGTCAACTTGCTCAGGGCTAACTTTTTTTCGCCACAACGCCGCGCAATCCTACGGGTGAGTGCGCTCGAGCTATGAAAACCCACGACAGGCCTTACATACGCGAGCAATGGCTGCATCCGGACTTCAGTGCTCTCGACTTGACAGCCTCGGACACGTCTATCGAGGCCGAGGGCTCTACGTAACCTGCACCCAGCTCAATCGTTTCTCGAAGGACCTTCTTTTTAGTGGGTATAATCCCCTCTAACATCGCCCGTTACAATTTTCGCTTAGCGGTCCGGACTCACCTATTGTTATGAGATTTGTATCATTGAATAAGCACGAGGGTGCATCTATCGGATAGGGCAAGGAGCACACGACGCCGAGAATCAGCGGATGTTGGCTATCCCATAGGCGAGCCAAGCTATCGGGCATGTGCCATTAGACGTGAAGATGAGGCCGATGGGGACTCTGGCACACGAGGCAGCTTCCAGTGGCATTGAGCCAAAGCTGCGACCTTCTGACAATTGTGACGGGGTTCCGGCCCCGCAGCAGCAGGCGGACATCTCGAGCCCATACAAACAGTAAGAGCCTAGACAGTAGGATATCGAGCTTGTTACTCACCGCTTTGCTGTGTCGGTGATTTTTCTGTCCGCAAGTTCGCTCGCGCTTCCCACTCCATCTGTCTGCTTCCCAAGGTGGACCCACTTGACGCAAGCGCAAGTGCACACTTTATGGCTTCGGTCGCTCCACCCCCTTCCCCTCGGAGCCCCACGTTGTCCGTCCCGGGCTGGTCGATATTAACCTAGTTGGAGTTCTGTCAACCGTGTTCGACAGGCTGGAACTCAAATGGACGGACCCACAGCCTATATATTTAGCTCGCCAATGAAACGTATCTGTATTCTGAAATCCTTCTCGTCGCTCTCGTCCGCCGCATGTGGACTCGTTCCCTATGTATCCGGCGCAGGAGGTCCCTACCTGCGGCCATCAACCCGTCCGGCCGCATTGAGCTCTAGGTGGGTCATGAAACGCCGGAGACGAGCCGCACGTACCAAATGAAGGCCATTTCTGGATCGTCATGTTCGCTGCATGGGTCCATGTGGTCGTCGAAAAGACCTTTACCCACGGCAAGAGCTGCCAGGTAAGCGCAGAAGGTTATACAGTCCGGCGCCCAGGATAGTGAGATGAACACGGTCGTTGAACATCCACACGCCTCAGTAGCGGCGGGCGAGTGACCACCAAATTACTTCTGCGATTGTGACTGTCCATCCAACGAGCGTAGAAATATGTGAGAGTGGCAGACAGAACAGTCGCTGGCGATTGCCGAAAGGGAAAATGTCATCTCACATGGCAGCCTACGAAGGGACCAGACAGAAGGCTGGAAAGCATGAGGGATATCGGACCTCAGCGTTTTCTTGCAGTATCCGGGAAGTCAGCTCAAGAGACGGAGCTTACACCAAATTATATCAGCAGGGTCATATCCCTTGTGGATAGGTTTTGATGGGCCTGAGTTGTGGATCCCCTCCATTCAATCCTTACGGCTCTCGGGCATTCATGCACTCGGGCCATTGGTTCGAGATTATCCCCGGAAGAGAATGACACCGCATGAAGAGGGAGTCTTTCACCCATTTGACATGCTGTCGATAAGGCTAAACGACTTCTACCTGAGACCCGGGTGAGCTTTTCTGTAGGCGTTTCGATCTATGAACTTACATAGTTACTAGGGAAAATTCCTGTCTTTCCTGTTGAGTCGATACCTAAGAGAAAAGCATAGAACGTTAGGCATCACTGAAGTGTGTTAAAACCCGTGTCGGCGAACCTTCCCACCACCCCTCGGCATAATTTTGGCCACCAGACGGTCCTGAAGTTAACTGGATGAGCTCTCCCACCCGAATATCCAGCTCATCCGTTCCCTGCGCAGCATAGTCGTAGATCCCCTTCACTATAAGCAGAAATAATAGATGAACGACATATGGGCGTAGCAGGTGTTCTGACATCCCACCATATTTCTGTGAATCTCCTACAGATAAAGCAGAGTTCGCCTGCGGCCCATTCTCGTCCAATTCGGAAGAGTTAAGATACTGGATGTAGGACGCGGGGACAAGTCCCTTTCCACCCGATGTGTCGCCGACCTTGACCCAACCAGAGCCGTCATCTTCTTCAAGCACCCGAACCGTAGCTCCATCTGCCGGACGCAAGGCTCAGCACGTACTCCTACGAGGAAATAGGACTTGGCTCACCGTCCACGCTCAGCTCAAACGGGGATGAAGCGGAGAACTCGAAAAGAACCTTGGCTACGGGACAGTTGGCTTCTTCTGCATGTGCCGAAGAATCTGATTGAACGAATGAAGATGCCGTCGGGGTTTGAGGTGCTGTTGGTGATATACGTGAGCCAACAACTCTGGCGAAATCGCAAGGCGAGGTGGATCTCACCGTCTATCCGGGATCGATCTAATATCGTTGATATTCTCGAGATAGACGCAGAGCTTCTGTGCCGACCTTCCCGAGACCCTGTGCACTCGGCAGGGACCTATTGGACCCTGTCAGAACCGATGACACAGTAAAATCGTGGCCACTACCTTAAGCTCGCATTTGGAGTGGACCGATAGACCACATAGCCTGCATGTTTTTCCTTGCTTACTCAGCCCCCATATTGAAGACTACCATCTACTTCAGAGGAAAGCACATGCAATTTCAATGAAGCATACCTTGCAGTACCCGCATTGAGTAGGGATAGAGAAGGAAGAATTCTTGAATGAATGAGGTTGTTGAGCGCCCTCGTCACCTATGAAAGGTGTGGAAGTGAATTAAACCTCTAATGCAAGCTCTTATGGGCCGAGCAAATACCTCCAAGAGCTCCTACAATCGTGTCGATCTCTGCTTGCAGGATGCACGCAGAGGTGGCGTAGGAAGTCAGTTGGTGCTGCGCGTCTAGATAGCTCTGTGGGCATCAGATAAGCATACCCAGTACAAATGGGGCATTAATGCAAAGAATCCCAGGACAAAAATTAGGGAGCTACTTACGTCAAGTACGTCCCCCGTGTTGCCGAGAGAAGCGTCGTCCGTGTACGCCGTGACCAATTTCGAGAACCGCTCGACCTCGTTCCCTGGAAGCATCAACGATAAGACGACCTGTAGAAAACTTGCCCGCGACCAGGGGAAAGGCGCTCACGTTTGGTGTCTAGTAATGGGGCGAGTTCCTGCAGTTTTCCCCGGCATTTACTCAGTTTGTTCTGTAGAAATACCTTCGGACCTGGTTCCACGCTCAGATCCCCCTGTATTGCAGTGAAAACCAGCTGTGCGTGCAACATTCTGTGACTTACCGTGTCGTAGTGGCTCTTACAAGGCTCAAACTGCCAGTCAGAAGGAGGTGCGAACGGCCGGATATTATGATCTATGAAGAGATCTTGGTCACGTTTCGCGTCGACCTTCTTCAAGCGGTCCTGCACGTTCGCTATTCGACCCTTTAAGGCATCCAGGTGCGCTACGTGAAGGTCCTGGGCTTGAGAGAGGATCTCCGTCAACTGGTTGATTAATTGCGTCTGGAGATTCTCTGCATCGTGGCGGGTCAGTCATATCGGAGACAGAACGGCTAGAATCGACAGCGTACGAAATTGCTACGGGTAACCAGTCGGTCAGTCCGGCGCACTATTTCGGGTAACGGGGCATACATTTTCCAGGGCCGGCAAGTCTTCGTTGTAAAACTTCGACTTGACCTTGTTGGCAATCTCTATGGACACGAGATATATGCTGCAGAAAATCACGTCAGCACATGCGAAGAGATATGACGTCGACACTCGCACTTCTTACTATTAAGCATGTCGTTCTGCTGCTGTTCGTATTGTCGGGCTGCGCGGTCAGCGTGTCGGTCGTCCTGGGCACGGCCCTGTTTCTGACGATAGGCCTCCAGCTCCATGCATTCTTCATCGTACTTTTACCGGCATTAGCTACCTTCTTCATGAACCTCGTGGCAGCTGTTTACCTTTTGTTTGCTCTAACGAAGAATGGTGAGTGGAATAACCAGATATGTCCGATCATTCATACCTTGGCACGTTCAGAGTAGACCCTGTCTCTCTCGGTAAGAAGTTTCTGGAAGAACTGCATTTGCTGTGTGCCAAAATTCCTTAGCACGGGGCTTTGACGAATTGGAAAAATGTACCTTCTTCTTCAGTTCGGCATGTTTACTCTCAGTCGTCTTTAGAGCGTCCGCTACTTTAGAGTTCAGACCATCGGCCAGGGTAATATGATCTTCAGCAGATTCATTGAGGGATGATATGAGCTGGTCGTATGCATTGTTGAGGGAACTGTGTCGCATTCGAAGCTCAGCTGACAGAAGGGCTTTCTAACCTCTCCGTACCTTCTCTGGATGACATTCTCGTCCCAGGCTTTCGTAGGTTCGGTACCAAGCACAAGGGGTGTTATATTCTTGCTCTTCTTCTCGCTTGCTTTACTCGCCAAAGCTTGCAGCTTGACTGCATAATCCCGCTCTAATGCGGCGCGATCTCGGTACAAATCACGGACCTGTCACCCTGCCTCAGAACAATACGAGGATCAATGATGAGTTATTCTGCCTACATCACTCAGGAGTTCAAGCTGCTTAGTCGATACATCTGCGATCAGTTCTACCTGATCCTGCAAGGATGTCAATACATATTCCAACGTAGCATAGTCCAAAACTTATACCGGAAGGTTGCTTCCGTAGGATTGATTTGAAGGCGTCGCGGCTGTATTCATCCTAGCTAGCGAGAACCTTGTAGGCTCGTATGTCTAGCTAAGTAGAACGGAACGAAGAGGCGACGCGCAGCGGTCGTCTGTGCACTCTGGAACGGAGAACGTACTATGACGAGTAATAACCCCTATCTGAGGCTCTAACTGCGCACGGATTCACGGAAACACGTGCTACACCGGGACTTCGAAGTTGAACGTTGAACGTTGAACTGTTGAACTTGAAGGCGTCTCAACCGCCGCACCCTTCATCCCTCATGCCGCCATCTGAGCGAGGCTGGAGACAACTGTGCCTGTTGCGCGCTGTACATATGTCGTTTCTTCCTGTAATTGTCCTATGCGGTCTCCCGCGAATGTCTTCGGGTCCGGAGGATGACCATATCGTGGACCAGATAAGAGTTCGACTGACCCCGGCCTCGTATTAGATACGACGGCAGTATAAAACCGAGGGCAGATATCTGATGTACGACTACTCTGGAATCTCGTGGTGTGTTCTTCATCTGTACTCTTGTGACAGTGATACGTCGGTGAGGACAGGATCTGTTGAAGACTTCAATAAGTTTCAGCCTTGGTTGCGCTATCTCCACGAGGTCGCCCTTTTTCGATGACGGTGATCTACTTTCTGCACCAGCGTCTTCTTCCCTTGCCCTGTTATACGATGGGGACTTGACGTATATCTGGTCCTAGCACGAAGTTGGCGCATTAGACTGGTTACTCAGTTGTCCGCGTACTACACAACAAAAGAGGTTGTGTGGAATGCTTGCCTCCACCGGCACCCCTCGTTCATACGGCAGACCGGTATACGCTTATCAAGCGATAAGGACGTATCAAGTTTGCGCAGGTGGGTGTGCTTACCTCTCGGCAGACACGAATCCTATCTCATGACCATGTTCAGATGCGGAATGTCATAAGACAGGCCACCTAGTGTACAATCTCTGGCCTCTTGGAATCTTCCTGAAGTATCACTCAACTGGCGCCGTCGTACCACCAGGGTCCTTTTGGGATGATCTTCCGAATATGTGTACCAAAGTGCAAATATTGCGACTGAAGGTTCCTTTGCCCCCGGACTATTGCTGTGTCCATCTCCGAACCTGCACTTTTGGCTTGTTCTGAGCTGGTTTTCTCGAGCCGCCCTGGGTCTAAACTATGGGTAGGAAGCGTGGTGGAGCTTCCGTCTCTACTGGTCTTCGTACTCGAATGCATACCGAAGCGCACTCGCGGTCCACAATTCACTGCGGCTTATGACAGGACCTATTTGCATGCCTATGGCCGAAGATTACACTGCTGTATGGTCGAGTCTATTCTACCCACTTATCGCGGATGGCAATAAGGAGTGGCTCATATCTGATTCTGGAATACGCCCCTGCTTCATTCGCTACGATGCGTGCAGAGGTACACATGTCCACGAAGGATATCGAACCGAGGGGCCTTGTATCTCTGCCTAAAATGATGGGAAGACCTAGTCTGACGAGGGAATCCTGTGATGGTAGCAATATGAGCCAAATCCCGAAACTCGAAGGATCTCTTGCGTACCCCTGCGTTATAGGGCCAGGCGAACTGGGTTCGCCTCAGTTGCAAGACGTTACTGCTTGTATCGGGCGCACTCTGGACCTGTTGATGTGGCAGGCAATGCTTCGAAACCTCTCCAACCCTGTACTACGAGAGAGAGATCAATTCAATTAGTAAGAAACTCAGACAAGGACCTCGCAAACTCTACTGTGGGGCAATAGGACGAAGGTTACCGATAACCTGGAACTCGCCTTATTGCACAAAAATTAATCAGGTGCTCCTCCGGACGCCGTGATCGACACTTGCCGTGTCGGTTAAGTGCTACTTCGCTATGTATGGTGGCCGCCCCTGCCCTTTGTCCGCAGTAAAGGGGTACTGCTGCGCGCCCTTGAGGGTTCTATAAGAATCTTGTGGAGGCATAAGCTCTAGGATTGTAGCTCTCCTCAACTGAGTTTGTTGGAAGTTTCAAGGGATCCTTCACTTAGGAGCAGGTGAGTCAGGCGTATTCATCTGCTAAGGCTGACATATTCCGCCGTTTACAGCGCAAGATGTGCCGCACCCCGAAGTCGCGCGGAAGAATGTCGGTCCCGCCTCCACTATGAGGCCCTCAGGTTCGTATCGAAGCGTCCATCTCACAAGCTCGACTGCCTCTGATGCTCTTACCTACCCAAAGGGTTATGTTGGCGAGCGGGGAGTACGGCAGTCCCGCTTCGATGATCTGCCTTCCCTCTAGTTTGACGGACCTTCCACACTCCCCACTCAAGGACCTAGGCCCTGAGGTCGAAGGGGAATGCAAAACATCCGGAGTTCCAATGTTCTGGGCGAGGTGACCTGCTTACATGCAACTAACGCGTCACCATTCTCGTCAGGCGCGTACGAACATATGAGCCGCCAACTACATCCCCAAGAGACCTTTATGCGCACGGTATCGTCCGGTGTTCCCGGTCTCAACAATATCTTCCGTTCTTGGACTGTATTGCTGCGAACGGGGGCCCGCGCCGAGTGATCCATGCCAATATTACAACATTCCGCTGGGGAGAATGGTCTCTCGGAAATGGGGTTCGACTTTCTCACTGGTGAGACTATACATATCGTCTAGTCACGCGGATGAGCGCTTACGACATGTCCAAGGGTTTAATAACGACCGGTAGCAAATCAAATGAAGTGCATGGCGTATGAACAGACCGCGAGGAAAATTCATCCATGAGTAAGTTCGTTCGTGGTCCAGAGTCCGCCACGGTCAGTCATGGCGCTGGTGGCTGAAGCCAAGCCTGAAGCGCAAATTCCTTCGTCCCAATTGTGGACCGTACAGCACGTGGAAACGGCCCAGTATTTTATCCAATCCCCGCTGATCGCAGGTGAGTCAGAGTCGCATGTTTTGTGTAACGAGGATAAGATCAAACAGGCTTTAAGCTCGTGTGCGGCTGTGCTTTTAATATCCGTCCAGCACGTTGCAAGACGGAATTCAATTGTTGATAGCCTTTGAGACCTTCCTCCCAATATCGTCGCAGTCTACACGCTGCAAGGACAGGTGGTGGTTACGGTCACGCCGGCGTACTGGCTCATGATGGATCAAGATGCTTTCTGGGCACGGCGTTCGTCGTACTGGAAAGATGACAACGCCCCGCGTGGGGTTCCCCATTTACAGGATGGAGCCTTTGGATCCTTGCGAGCGGCCGTGGGCGTCCCCATTTGTTCCCAACATAACGTACGGTGAGTTGACGGTCCAGACCACATATTGTACCTGTCCAAAACTTTCGGGGAGGTTCCACCCACTTTTCACAGGAACGAAGTAATAGGAGAATGGCTCAGAGGTCTCCCCGGTCCGTGCGTCTGCAGTGGACCCGCGGGACTCAGGAACCCAATGGTGAGGGGCGACAAACTCACCCCCACGAAACGCGGGCACGGGATGAGAGCACGTGACCAAAACCCACGACTCGACTGCCGAAAACGGTAGAAGGGATATAACTATAGGTATGTATGGCTATGACGCGCGCTCATAACTAGTGCAGTTTGGCGTAGTCGGTAACGCAGTCCATATAAATCCAGGATGCCTCGGTTCAATTCGCTTGCTGGGCAAAAAGTATTTTATATCCCCAGTATTGTTTGTGTGTATAAATATGGCTAAAATGAAGGGAAAATAACTCAATCAAAACTTGTTCATTTTGCCACCCTGGCTGTCTTTGGGTGGTGGAAGACACCTTGGGTGGCCGCGTGCTGGCCACCCCGGCTACGGAAACACCATTAGACATAACTCATGGGTCAAAAATGCCGGGAGCCTGACACAGAATAAAATCAGACATCAAACT